GAAGTGATCCTACCAGGCAAGCAGAGCTCCAAAGACCACTGGAACTCACCTGTCAACCAGGGCTGGGATCCCTCCGCTGCTGCTGTCAGGTGGTCCTCCATTCTGTGCTTGGACTCCCATGGCGATGGGGAGCTTACTTAGCAGCCTTTAGGACGATTTCCCCTTGTCTGGAGTCCAGACTCACCTCTCTGCATCCTCCCCTATGGGACCCAATTCCCCCATCTGAGGCCGAGCAGCTCTGTCCCCTGACACACTGGAGAGACTGCACAGCCAGAGGAGCCAGAGCTGGGAGGATGAGGGAGATGGAGTGAGTAGTTCACGGCATCAGGAACCCTCTGGATGCATTGCCTCCCTGAATCCTGCAAGACACAGGTGGTTTAGCCTCATTTTACTTCAGAGGGGGTTGAGGCATAGGGAACTGGCATTAACCCATCCAAGCTCACACATCAGTTAGTGTCCAGGCGGACGCAAACGGTGTCCTTGGTTTATGGACTTGGGAAGCTGAGTCTGCTCACGGGCAGGAGCGTTCTCGGCTGCCCTGCAGCACTCATTGGGTGTGGTGGCCAGGCGGGCAGCCTGGGGTAGCATTTACTTTGTAAAAGCCTTATTTCGAAGTATAACACGCACAGACAAAAGTGCACGAAGATATACAGCTTAGCGATCTATGACAAAGCGGCTGCTCATGAAATCACCACCCAAGTCGCAAAATAGGACACCGCCAGCAAGCCAGAGCCTCTTATCCTTCCTGACCACTGCCCCCGTCCTCCTTGCTTTTCCTTCTAGTTTTATGACCTACACACGGGCCCACACCTAATGGCAGTGTGAGCTTTATGTAAACGGAATCACACATTTGGCCTCAGTTTGGGTTTGGCTGCTTTCACTCAGCACTCACTCAACATCCACCCACAAATATTTTCACTGCTGGAGGAGACTGACATCACAATTTTGTCCGTGGACCTGTGGACTGTTTCCAGGTTTTGTTATAATGAACGTGATAACTGCTGTGAACATTTGTGTTCATATTTCTTGGGGCATACACGTGTACATTGGGTATGTAACTGTATGCGTTTCCTAGAGCTGCCATAACTCAGTGTCACAAACTGGCAGGTTTAAAACCACAGAGAGTTATTCTCACAGTTCTGGAGGTTGGATATCTGAAACTAAGGTGTCAGCAGGGCGGTGCTCTCTCTGAGACTCTGGGTAGAATCCTCTCTTGCCTCTCCCCAGCTTCTGGTGCAAGCAAGGAGCATCCATCCTTGGGGTGTTTGCAGCTGCACAGCTCCCATCTCCACCTCCACCTTCGCGTGGGCCTCTTCCCTCATATCCTTAGGTTATCTTCCTATAAGGACACTAGGCATAGTGCATAAAGAGTCACCCTACTCCAATAGAACTTCTTCATTAATTACATCTGCAAAGACCCTATTTCTTTTTTTTAATACTCTTTAAAAATTTTTATTTTATTTATTATTTTTGGCTGCATAGGGTCTTCGTTGCTGCGTGCGGGCTTCCTCTAGTTGCAGTGAGCGGGGGCTACTCTTCATTGTGGTGCGTAGGCTACTCATTGCAGTGGCTTCCCTTGTTGCGGAGCTCAGGCTCTAGGCGCGCGGGCTTCAGTAATTGTGGCTCGCAGGCTCTAGAGTGCAGGCTCAGTAGTTGGCTATACTTCACCTTTTGCGTTTCACTATACATTGTAAAACCATCTTGTCGATTCCATAAAAATTATGTCGGGCTTTTGAGTGGGCTTGCATCAACTCTCTAGACCGTTTTGGAGGAACTGACATCTTCACACTGAGTCACCTAATCCATACACATCACATATTCCTCCATATCTTGGGGTCTTTCACTTCTCCCCATGGTTTATAGATTTCTACGTAGAGGTCTTGCCCATCGTTTTTTTCTTTTGGGCCGTGCCGCGTGGCTTACAGGATCTTAGTTCCCTGACCAGGGATCAAACCCGTGGCCCCTGCAGCGGAAGCACGGAGTCCTAACCACTGGACCTCCAGGGAATTCCGAGGTCTTGCCTCTCTTACGTTGAATTTATTCTTAGGTATTTGATATTTTTGATGCTCTGAAATTGGTATTTTCAAATTTAAAAAAATTTAGGTGCATATAGACGTTCAATAGGTTTCCATGTACTGACTTTGTATCCAGAAAAAAATTTCAACTTATTATTTCTAATCATTTATCTGTGAATTCTTGTGGATGACCTAAGTACATAACGCTATCTGTAAGTAAAGACAGTCCAATTTCTTCCTTTCCAATCTTCAGGATTTACTTCTCTTGCTTCTCTGTGCTGACTGGGGTTCTCTACTATGATGTTACCTGATGAAAGGAGGCATCTTTATCTGTCTCCTAATCTGAAAGGGAACACATTCAACATTTTAGCATTAAATACATTACATATGATGCTTTCTATAGTTCTTGCTTTTTTATGTTTTATTTTTTTACATAAATTCTTTTTATGGTCAAGGGAGAGAATATCTTAAGAAAATGGATTGGGAAGAAGAATATTCTTTATTTTTTTTAACATCTTTATATTGGAGTATAATTGCTTTACATTGTTGTGTTAGTGAATCAGCTGTACGTATACATGTATCCCATCTTTCTTAGATTTCCTTCCCATTTGGTCACCACAGAGCACTGAGTAGAGTTCCCTGTGCTATACGGCAGGTTCTCGTTAGTTATCGATTTTATACGTAGTAGTGTATATATGTCAATCCCAACCTCCCAGTTCACCCCACCCCCCTTCCCCCTTTGGTATCCATAAGTTTGTTCTCTACATTTGTGTCTCTATTTCTGCTTTTCAAATAAGTTCATCTGCACCATTCTTCTAGATTCCACATATAAGAAATATTATATGATATTTGTTTTTCTCTTACTTCACTCTGTATGACAGTTTCTAGGTCTATCCATGTCTCTGCAAATGGCACTATTTTGCTCCTTTTTATGGGTGAGTAATATTTCATTGTATAAACGTAGGGGTGGAATATTTGATGTGGAAAACCTTGGAAATTCAGGATATCTAGTTGCCACACCATTGTACCAGCTCCCTTTCATTTTTTTTTGACAGGCATTAAAAACTGCCTATTCTCAACGCCTGGATTCTTTAAATGCCCCCTGGCTGGGCCACTGCTGTGTGCTACGTTGAGTTGGACATTTCACATCACCAGCAGTTGAGCCAGCTGGGTCGGATCAATTTCACAGTGACCCCACAGGCCTCACTTCAAACCAAGCCTTTACAGTTTTCGTTGTTCTGGTAAAAGTGAAGGTTAGGATATGATGTCATCTCCCACTGCCTATGCTCTGCAGTGGATATCAGCTGCAAAGCGGAACGGGGCCCCTGAGATGAGAGGCAGGATTTGGGGTTGGAATACGGGGCTGAAACTCCAACTCTCTCACCTCTTAGCTTGCAGGATCCTTGGCAAGTTGTTTTCTCTGAGCCTGAGTTTTTGTCTTTGTTTTTCCTCTCACTTGTGAAACGGGAGTAAGAATATTTACCTCCTCTGGGTAATTTTGTAGATTATATTAGAGCACTTGGGAAAGCACCTAGCAATTAGTAGGTACTCAATACATTAAAAAAAAAAATCTTTCCTGTGCCAAGGGGTCGACTGGGGGGTGAGGGGTGGCTGGATACTGATAGATAGAGCTTGCCTCAAAGTGTGGTCTAGGACCTAGAGTGTTGGCCTCACCCAGGAGCTTCTTAGAAATTGAGAACTGCAGGTCCCAGCCTGGACCTGCTGAATCAGAATCTGCAATTCCACAAGATCCCCAGTGACTCAAAGTCTGGGAGGAGCACAAAGTGCTGCATTGCTAAGAAGCTCCACACAGGCAATAACTGAGGCAAGGAACTGGGAAGAGGTAGGATGTCGATGACACAGCAGCAAAGATGGGTTTGCAGATTCTGGGGAGCTCTCGCTGTGTTTCCTGCATCCAAATAAGAATGACTTCCTCCTGGCATGAAACTGAACTCCGATGAGGACGTTCTCTAGCACAGAAAAGCCAAACCACTAATCTGAATAAATAAGCATCAATTTTATTGAATCATGAATAATTTAAGACTGGTACAATCATCAGGTTTATTCTCTATGATGTGGGGCATGATCTCCGGCAGATCATTGGCAAATCCAAAAACCTCATGACAAATGAAAATTAAATAGGGAGGGACGGCGGACGGGGAGGGAGGACGGAAACATACCGTACACAAAATACTCAATTCCTAGTTTTCTCTTTAAAAATGGCTAGAAAAAATTCATCAAAATGCAGCACTTTAATCAGTTATTTACAATTTCTATGTTACAATGAAAAAATGTACATCTTATAGAACGTATTTCATAAACTGCTCCACTGGAAATAACTAGATCAAAACAGCAAACCTTCCATTTCGTATCCACAAAGTTGGATTATTTTCTCCTTTTGAAGTAGATTCGCCATTATCAAATTCGAATACACAGAATTTTGAAGTTTAAGTATCAACAATAAAATATGTCCCCAAGATACAACAAAGGTCTAGGCAAGTCTCGTTCCGTGTCCCCCCCTGCCCACCCACCACCTTAAACTAAAGGGAATTCCCATCTCACTTATGGCCTGTAAAATTCTTGGCAGTTTGGAAAGAAAACTTTTGGCTTCCATTGGTAACTCAACACAAATGTTGCATAGAATTTCATACATTTTCAAAATTAGCCTAACTGTAGAAAAAGGCAAAGTGGAAGCATTTTGGACAGAGCCCTAAACGAGCACAGTCACTTTGTCAAAGGTGAGCGACACAAAAGCAGAACAGGACCAAAGTAAGAAATGTGCATATCAGACAACCCTGCTTCCGGAAACTGCAGGAAAGACCCCGAGTTGTGACTCGAACAAGGCTACACTCCTTGAAACCACCGTTCACTTGTCAGGCAGCACCAGGGACAGAGGTCTCGGCGCTGAGCCTGGACCCGGTGGGAGGGAAGTCTGTGGGACGGGGTGGGGGGGGCGGGAGAAAAGAAAGAGAAAAGAGGGTGCTGTAAAAAAAAAAAAAAAAAAAAAAAAATGTTTCAAAGGATATTGGCAGGTGTCTACTCGCAAGGTGACCGGGAAAACTGCCCATGAGGAGAAGTCCATTTCACCTCCTCCCAAATTCACAGTATGAGCGTGTAAGGTCATTGCTGGGAGATAAATTGAGAAGGACCATTCTTCAGGTTTACCAGAAGGCTCAGGGTGTGACTGACCCCTGAGGTCACAGGCTAAATACATGCTTTAAACATTTTATGAAAAACAAAACAGAACAAGACACACTCACACACCCAGATGACTAAGGAAGGCTTAGCAGAATAGAGTCTGAGTTTACTGAGATTAAAGAAAAGAGCACGCTGAGAGGTTTTCCTTTCACCTGTTAGAGAGACACATTCCCCTTTTCCTTTCAAAGAGGAAGCAAATGGTGTCATCCAATGTAATGTGACTGGTTTCAGGTCAAGCTCTTGTGGTTAAGAAAATAAAAGATGTTGAGAGAGGGACCTTTGGAAATAGAAATGTAAAAAAAATGGAGTAAAACCCCTGATCATTAACAGAGACTCCCCCCATGGGGGTCCGATAAAAATAAAACAGAAACAAATGACTCAAAGATTGACCACACTCTGTAGAGAAAATACCGGTATGCTGAAGACACATACGAGCAGAGCATGGCTCAACAATGTCATGTAACATGGTAGGAACTTTTGCCTTTTCCTGCACAAGACAGATCGCCATCTAGTCAGGGCGTTAGCTGGAGACTGATAAGAACCTAAAAACAAAAAGATCTTTTTTTTTTTTTTTTTTTCCTTTTTCTTTTTCCCACAGTCACACATCCACACGAATGAGTCTTTTGGATGACTCACATTAGCTTGAGTTCCTTTGGATGACTCACATTAGCTTGAGTTCTTCTAGTGAGTAGATGACTTGTTAGCCCTGTTTGCTCTGATGGGGAACACAGAAAAACAGACCCCAGGCAGGCACGACACTCATCAATGAACACGGTGAGTACAAAACCAGTTAAGGCATCGCTTTGGGAAGGTCAGCACCGAAGAGGTCAGGCAAGGCTCGTCCGCCGGAGGCCAGAGCTTCTGGAAGGGAGCAGCTGCCTCCACCTGTTGACTTGTTTGACGTCACGTTGGTTCTGGGGAAAGTGCAAGTGTTTTGCGAGGTGACCTCACACCCCACCTGAGGTCGGGGCTGGCATGCTGGAGGTGTCGACGTGTGTCCTGCAGCCTCGAGGACGAGGAGGAAAGGCAAGGTCCCGCTCACCCACGCGCTGAGGACGGGGTCCTGGTCCACTGTCAAGGGCACAGCGACCCCGGCCCCAGCAGGAGGCAGCGAGGGTGCAGAACTGTGAGGATGGACAACTGAAAACCAAAACTCAGCAGGACCAAACCAAAAGCCAACTCCTGCGGTTCTCACGTTCACCAAAGGATGGATTCTGACCATGAGGGGAAGGAGAGGGGGAAAAGGTCTTCAAAATCAAAAGAGTCAGAAAGGGAGGAACTCAGCCTCATTTTCAAAGGGGTGATCGGTTCGCCACGGTAGACCAATTCTCCCTGCACGCAGTGTTAGCAGGAATAAGGCCTGATTCACTTCTGTACGAGAAGGAGGCAGACACACGCAGCTCTGCGTTTACAGCCACCCGCTCGGCCTCGCTCTCACTTATGGAAGAACCAGAGGCTGATGGGTCTGAAAGGCAGGGGAGGAACTGGAACAGGCACAATACCTCTCGGGTAAGGAGAGCACCATTTAAAAAACAAACCAAAGAGGAAGCACGATTTGTTTTTCCTAAGTTTTTCCTGCGATGCGGCTCTGCAGTTTGTTGAGTGTGACCAAAGCAAGGGCCCCGGCTGGCATCGGATCTCTGTGTGGCCGGTGTGGTGGAAGGGCGGCGGCGGGGTTGGAGCTGCAGGGTCTGTGCGCGGAGGAAGCCCTGCTGTCTCCGTTTTCAGCTCTGTTCTGATCTCTTCTGTCTCTGGGCCGCTGAGGGCAGGATGCTGTTTGGTTTCAGAGCTTCGAGTGGGTTGGCTTTTTTGTTTAAAACCCTTTTCATTCCAACGGTGATGGTCCTTTCCCGAGATGTATCTTTCAGTGTCTTAGGAAGGTCACGGCAACAAGGCAAGACAATAATTGACACAGAAGATGGTGCGGTTCTCCCTGTGAAGGAAGCGGGCCCGAGGCGGCTGGCCCGGGGTGCCTGCACCCAGGTCAAGGCTGGAGGACGAGGAGGGTCCGGGTCTTCGCGCGGCGCTCACGCCGAGGCCGGCGGCTGGCTCAGGAGGGCAGGCTCCGTGGCCCGGCCGTCACAGAGTAGACTCCAGGGACGAGTCCAGGATATCGTCGTGATGGCTGTTGCTGTTGGAGTCGCTGTCATAGCTCTGGGGGCTGGAGTAGTTGGCAGCTTCCTGCAGCCGCATCAGCATGCTCACCTGGGGAAGAGCGGAGACTGCGTGCGACATGGCTTCCGGTCCGGTCGGCCGGCCGCGCCTGGCCTCTCCGGAGCTCGCGCCACGTCCTCTAGACTCACCCTGGGGACTGTGGCCCGCAGTGGGCGAGAGCACGGGCCCTCGGCCAGGCTTCCAGGGTTCAGGTCTCGGCTCCGCCACTTACTAGCTGCATGACCTCGGGCCAGTGACTCAACCGCTACACCTCAGTTTCTTCACTGGTCACGTGTGAATAATTATACCTGCCCTATAACGTTACGGTGTGGATTCATACACGCAGACCACTGAAAATACAAAATCCTCTAAAAGATAATGTGTATCTATTTTTTACTTGGGAGGGGCACCTTACTCAAATATAGCCCTCAGCCTGGGTGAGATGCCAGCCAAGCGCCCCAGCACCGCTGACCTCGAGGCACAGGGCTCCCCCTTCGATGAGCATCGAGCCCATCTGTAGTCCTGGCTCTGGCCAGGGCGCAGCCTGGAGTCACCTGGGCTCCAGCTCCTGTCAAGGTCTCCATGGGGAGGCGGAGGACAGCATCAGTAAAGCAGAGCCTCAGAGCACAGGGAGGCCTGGATTCCAATTCAGAAACCTTTGGGCAATTATTTAATGTATCTGAGCCACCAGTTCCTCATTCACAGAATAGAGAAAACGGCAGTACCCATACCATAGGGCTGAGGTAGGGGATTAAACGACATGGTGCGTATTCAACCCTTAGGATAGGGCCTGGCACATAGTAACTGTTCCATAAATGAGATAAGTCTGCTATCATCACCATCATTTCTCTTAAGAGTTTAAAGACAGTGCTCTTGCATCTTCCCTGGTCTACAGTCTATTGGTCATTTGTGTTCAAGGGGGAGATGCGGAACTGAAAACCATCGATACTTTAATTTTATTGACAACTATAAACTGTGTGTGTATGTATTTTATATTTTATCTAGCAAAATTAGGAAGATAGGGTCTCTCTGAGCTATCTTCAGACTTGGTGCAGCTGGGTGTGAAGTCCAGCTGCCCCCTGGCTGGCCGCCCCTCAGGATGCCTAGCAGAGTGGGCCTGGGTGGGCCAACCACAGACGCACCACCACCTGGTGTCCATCTGCATGCCTGCAACTGGGAAGGGGTAGAGCGGAAGTCCAAAGAAAAATCCTTCGCAGCCAGGGTTATTCATTCACTCATCAAACATTCCCTGTGTACCCATAGTACATGGTCTGGAATAAAAACAAGACAGTCCTGCCCTCCTGGAGGCCTCAGTCTCAGGAGGGTGAGAGATCAGCTAACAAGAGGGCTATCATAGCAGACACCTGTGGTCCTGGGCGGAGAGACCAGGACTTGGGGGGAAACACCAAGTACGTAACTTGGTAAGTAGAGGGAGCTGGGCTGGCATAGCTGACTTCTGGGAGCCTGAGGTTGGAAAGACAATTCTGTGTAACTATTCAGAGAACCCCGGGTCTTACCTAAATGCCTTCTGTGTTTAGGCAGCGACACGAATATCCCTGGTTAAGAAAAGACTGTCCAGGGCTGAGCTGGCCGTTCTTTCCTCTAGATGTCCTAAATTCTATTTTTACGTAAGTTAGAGTTCATGCGCTTGAACCCACAAAAACAGTTCCATGACTGTGGCTTTTAGTAACGGTTAACGTTAGAAATAGCCTTCTACAGGTTGATCCTTTCCTCTGGAAAACCACTGTGGTAAACACTGCAAATTAGGTCGTGCTTAGTAATACAAGCCATAAATCCATTTAACGTAAAATCCCCGTTGAAAATGTCTCAACAGGACCACAGCTGCATCCCAGCAGTCAGGAGTGGCAGACAACCCCAAAGCACCTATTATTATTATTTTTTATCTAGCAAAGCAGTTAGTCACTAGGGATAGAACAGCAAGTCAACTGTCTTTTAATCCTGCCGCATCTCTTATGAATATGTTCTTTCATTAGGTAATGCAAGCAATATTCTTTGCAGTGTTTTTCCTTTCGCCTTAGTTGCCAAGAGAGCACAGGGTTAAATTTATAGCATGATAATGGTCAGTTAACCATGGCAGGTTCCGGTATATGTGCTTCAACCTTCTTTTAATAGGGCTTTTGATTTATTAGGTCTAATTTCGCAGTATGCCTACGTATGGGTCTTACATTGGCAGAGAGTTCTAGAATTGTAGTGGTATGATCTCTGACCCAGGTTCTTCTTAAAGGGCCTTTATTGCTTTAGCATCAGTGGAGTAAAGGTGCTCAGGCAGCGTTAAAGGCTTAACTCACGTCACTGGCCAGGGGACCCGCATTCAGGCCCCCTTGCCCTCTCCTCCATGAGTCCCTCCCACCCTCAAACCTCTCCCTGCCTAAACTCCTGACCACGTGGCTTGGGCTACTGGGCAAGACATGATAAAGCTGGCACTCAAACCAGAGGGCGAAGAGTGGTGTAGGGACATTTAGGGAGAAAAATCAAATTCTTGAACTTTTACCTGAAAAATTTCAGAGGGATTAAAGACACAAGTGAAAAACTAAAAGCAAGGAAGAAAATATTGGCAAAAATGTCCCAAATCTTGGGATAGGTCTAGCCTTCCAAAGCAAGGCTGGGGCTCAGTCACTTCCAAATTTCCGGTGTGCCTAGCATGAGGCCCAATACACAGTAAGTGCTCAGTGAATGCCGAGCTGTTCTGGAAGCCGAGAACTCACCAGCGGGTCTCCGTCAGCGTCACTGGGGGGCATCTGCTTGCTGGTTGACCCCTCCCGAGGCATGGAGTAGCCGTCGAAGCCGACATCCTCGGGCCGGAGCTGCAGGAGGGGAGGCCACTCGTGCTGTTGAGGGCTGGCTGCCCAAGGATAGGTGTCCATCACCCACTTGGCGGGGTCCTCCCAGGGGGCCCGCCTTCCATACAGCTGGAAACAGACAAAGAAGGAACAGTTAGGAAGTGGTCCGAGACCTCTTCTGCAGGCCTGGTTTTGCAACTTTCTGAAAAACTCTCCAAGCCCAGCATTATGCTTCCCTTGATGGAGTAATTCCACTTCCAGAGGAAATCCTAAGGAAATCATCCAAGGCACGGACATCTTGATGTGCTAAGACCAAAGGCAGCATGACCTAGGGAGTAAAAGCACTGGCTTTGAAGTCAGCCTCACCTGGGTTCACACCTCAGCTCTGCCGCTGACTCACTGCGTCGCCCTCAACTCTAAACCTCGCGGATCCAACTTGAAAAACAACTCTTTGATTTGAAGTGTTTGCCAGTTTCCATGATATGAATACTCTCACCGCGGCCAATCAACTACCAACACGATGTCACTGAATGTGGAGCTGGAAAGAGGTGCTGTCATCCCACCGAGTACCCCCCACCCCTCCACGGCACACAGATGGGATGCTGGGTATCAGCAGCCCAGGCAGAGGTCACCAATGGCTCTGGCTCGATAAAACCCCATTTCTTAAAGTGAGGCTGACTCTCAAAGAGTCCCCGTGTAGAGGCGCTGGTCACTTTCAAAACAGCAAATTGTTAAAGGGGTTCCATGTGGGTACTGGAATTGTAACTGCTTCTCCTCCCTCATGTGTTTCTCAAAATTGCCCAGAATAACTAATTTGCTCTTAAAGCGGAATTATCACATAATTTTGTAAGACCAGTACCATGCCTCCAAGCTCCTTTCCTTAAGCCTGAAATACCGAATAATACAATGATTTTAGTGACTTCTTCTGGCAATTTCAAGAAATACATACACTCTTCAAAGAACAAAAGCCTAGGCTGCACCACTTCCCAAGGCGAGGCTCCGCATCTCACGTGGCTGGGTGCCTTCTCTGTATCTTTCCCCTTTAACACCACCCCTGCCGCCACACCTTACAGCTCCCTGCGTGCCAGGGATTACGAGAAGCACTTGACAAATATCCTGTTTAACTACCATGTGGTTCCAAGAGGAAGCATCACTACCCAAGTTTCCCAGACAAGGAGCCAGGCCCAGGGACGAGAGAAGGCAGAACTGGAATCCAAGTCTGCCCAGGTCCGTGGACCACTTAAGTCTGAGCAGATGTGGCAGGACTGGCTCACAGCCAGGACAAGATGTGCCCACCCAGGAGAGTGCCACCTGTGGCTCTGGAAGGGCACCCCCTCTGTAGGGCACCACAGGGGTACAAAGACCAAAGCCCCCTGAACCACAAAGGCTGCAGGGGGGGACTCTAGAGTGGAATTACATCTGGACTGCAGCCTGTCTGTCCGTCTGCCTGTTCCCTCTGTCCTCCCAGAACTCTTACAGTTGAGAGGGGAGGGAGAGGGACGTGGGGAGAGAAGCCTGACAGTACAGGAGAGCTGAGCTCTGACTGATAAAATCACATCTTTCCCAGGTCACAGGCTGCCTCAGCTGGAAGGAACTGGGGTCCCAGCCGTCTCATCTACCGGATGGAGAACTTACGGCTTAAAGAGAAGAGCCAGTTGTGAAAGGTTTCGGAGCAGCGCTGGATTTGAACCCAGGACCCTGGCATCCTTGTCTGGGCCTTTCCCTTCTCCACCCCTCCTGAAAGACTCCACTCGGAGCCACTCGGTATCGGCAAGAGCCACATGACTCAGCCAAAACCGGAGCAGGGAGATGCAGGCCAGGCTGTCCACCCGACGAGGACACGTCACCTGGGCTGGGCTCGCTGTCCCTCCGCTGTCTCACGATTGCCTAAGCCCCGTCCGATTGTCTCAGGGAAGTGCCTGCCCTGCCCACAATGCAGACAGGCCCGCCACCTCCCTCCATCCACGGTCTCCTCCTCCACTCGAGATACACAGCCTTCTACGAGCTCAGCGCTTTCAGACACCAGCGCCCTTCCTGTCTAGCGCTCCAGTCCCGTCTACTGCGAAACCTTCCTTAACCTGGGGCAGCGGTGACTCCCAGGCCTGAGTGCTCAGTCTGGCATTGGAAAGGCGACTCACGGTCCGAGCAGGAAGGGATCATGTGAAGGTTCGTGTGCGCATGGGTACGAGTCAGGGAGGAAGGGAGCACAAAGCGCTTGGGGATATTTAGACCTGAAAAAGCCTGTTGCACATGAGAAACATTCCTGCAACTTGTAGAAGCGTCTCCCTCCAAGGGCTTTCCCTACAGCACTCAGCTGACGTTCCCAAGCCAGATTTCACACGTGTGAGGCTGAACCAAACGTCGTTTCTGGTAGCTACTGCTTCTGTCTCCATCCTCCAGCCTGGAAGAGAAGATGCTCAGGGCTGCAGAACCACAGAGCCTAGAATCCCGAGCTCATCAAGTTCCTAGAGGGTCTGGCCCCGTGGCTTTAAAATTTTTGCTCTGTTCCCCTGACCCCACTATGAGTGGTCTGAGGAACTTTGGGGGTCCACAGAGCCAGCCTGAAAAAACTCTTCTAGCCCACACTTTTCAGATTACAGATGGGAAACCCGAGGCTTAGCAGTGGGAGGTTTGCCCAGAGTCTCAGAGGAGGTTGGGTCATGTGATCAATGGCTCCCCACTCTCCCCTTTCCACCAGGGGGACAGGGGTCTTTTGAGTGACTCTGCAGGCTTTAGACACTTTGGCAAGTGTTTACGATGAAAATTCCAAAGGGGAACAGGGCTGAGGGCTAAGTCATAAGACAAATGCACACCTGGGCATATCTAATGTCGTCTGCAAGAACAGAGAATATTTTTACAAGCCTCCCCACTTGCCACTGGACATGTCTAAGTCCAGGTGATGAATGGCTGGGTGAGTACCGTGGCAAGCAAAGGATGTGTCGTAACGCTCCTTGGTCCCCCTGCAGAGCCCTAAGGCAGCTCTGGGAAACAGCAGACAGTTGTACAGACAGACAGACAGACAGACAGGACATTCACTTTCCCCAAGGCAGGAAGAGGGAGCCAGGACACTGGAAACTGAAAACTTGGCCACTGGGCACCTTCTCACTCTGTGGGATGCATGTTTCTCACACACGAAGGCATCAAGGTACACATTCTGGAAGAGCCTACAAGCAGTTGCGCGCGCGAACACACACACACACACACACACACACACACACACACACACACACTACTGGGAAAAGACTCAGGAGCCAAAACTTGCAATGATACCTGGTATCCACTAGGGGGCGATGCCACATCTCCTCCAGGCAAGGCTGTGCCTTTTGGAGGGGCTGACTGGAAGCCCCTGGTGAGACCTGTCGGCAGCAGGGTCTCTGTGCTGCCAACCACCACCGGCAGCCCCGCCAGAGCCCAATCTGGGGACTCCACCTCTTCTTAGCTTATGACCTTGGCCAAGGGCTTACCTGCTTTGAACCACAGCGCGCTCACCTCATGGCCACACCGCTCCTCGCAGAGTCAGGGCGGAGTAAGTGGCCTGCATAGCGCCCAGCAGACAGTGCGCACGGGACTCAAGGTAACACGAAGGAGAGTGAGGAATTTTAAACTTTTCTTTTTGAGTACAAGAGTCTTTGGGTCAAATGAAATCTTATGCAGAACGCCACGCTATGAAACACAATACTTGGTTCCCTGAGCCATCTGAGGGGTCTGGGTGGAATAAAAGGGGTCTCAGGACAGCCTGAAAAATCACGGAAGTAACCGAGGAGTCAGCTACGGGCTACGACGCTGGCTCAATCCACACCCCGCCTAGTGAACTGCGGAAGGGTCAAAAACTGTGAGCCTTGGTTTCCTCGTCTATAAGGTGTATATTGGGCGTTGAGAACCAAACAGAATCATGCCTGTCAGGCCCCTGGCACAGTGCCTGGTAGGTAGCAGCCTCTCAATAAATGTCATCAAAGTTTCCTTCAAAACTAGAGACATGAAGAACACTCCAGGGTTCCTCATGAACCTGCAGATTCCATGGGGTCTCCCAGGCTGCAGGATGGGATGAAGCCACAGGTTTGGGGCAGGAGGGCTCACTTTTGAGCAACTTGGTACAATGCTAACTCTGGCTGCCTCCCCTGGTTGTTTCCATGTTCTTGGAAGACTGTCCTTCAAAAGACCTCAACAGCACAGGGAAGTGATGACTTTTCTTGCCTCACAGTGAACTGGTGAGTCTCCTGAGACGGTGACGTGCTTCTGTTCCTTGTCCTGAACGGGCTGCTCCACAGCCACCCCCAAATCCTTTCACCTACAGCCTCCTTGCTCTTGGTGGGAAAGAGACCCTTGAAGATCAAATCCATCAGCAACCTCTCCAGGATGCGCAGGGAAGATCAGACCCGACTTTCACAGCCATGCCCACAAGGTCTTCTTTCAAGCTGAGGTCCAAGGAGCAGGGCCTTAGCACTGTCCATCCTTACCGAGGACCAACGAGGGGCCTCTGATGTGTAGCTGGAGGCTAGAGCAAAGCCTACCCCTCCTGGTTGGTGCCTCCTTGGGCACCCACGTGCTTTATTCAACAGCACCCACGACTTTTTCCAAGCACACTCTAAGTCACTCCTGTCCTGCACCAGGAGACATATTTGGGCAAAGAAGCAAAGGGGAGAAGTGAGAGGTGAGGCAGAAATAGAAGGAAACAGTGCCCCTTCCTCCCCTGCAATTCCTGTGGCTTCTATCGAGCAGCGCGGGTTTCTACTGCAGTCCCCGGAAGCCCCTGATGGGAAGAAAGAGAGGCTTCTGGAACGAAACAGACTCCAAGAATCCAGTAGGCGGGGCATCCCAAGCAAACAGGAGTGACTGGGTGGCTGTTTGGGTTTGCGGTCCTAACAAATCCATTTGAGTAAAGACTAAATTATGGCTACTTTACCCAGTGAAGTTTTCTACCTAAAGAGAGTCCACTGACAGATCCGAAATCGTTCATATTTTCTTTCAAAAGTCACATTCGACAAAATAGAAATGTTGCCATCAACGGGAGAAATAGCTGAAGGGCATTAAGAGGTACAGTTCCTGCTGTGAAATAAAGTCATGGGGATGTGATGTACAGCATCGGGAATATAGTCAATAATATAGTAGTAACTCTGTACGGTGACAGATGGTAACTAGACTGACCAGAGTGTAATTTCGTAATGTACAAAAATATCAAATCACTATGTTGTGTGCCTGAAATTAATATACTGTATGTCAATTATAATTAAAAACAATGCTGCCATCAATCAATGACCTTCAGACACTGGAAACTAAGGCCGGGCAAGGGATTGCTGAATTTCTCGCTACTCTCTGTCTTCACAATCACTTATATTTGAACACGGTGGCTTGAATACGCAGCCTACATGCTCCCGTTCAATGAAATACCAGGGACCAGAGGCGCACCACCTTCCTTCTCAAGCCCTGGTTGTCCTGAATGTCTCCGAAGACCCTCAGTGCTGCTGCATGTTACAGATACAAAGCAGCTGAACATTCGCCCGGCTCAGCTGAACGTACACACATGACAAACCCTGACGGAAGCCATTAAGGTGTGCCGTCACACATGTGCATGTGGGTGTGCACCCCCCCCCCCCGGCCCGGGTCCTCCACCAGCATCATGTGTCCCCCACTGTCCGGTACTGAGGAAACACAGCCCTCAGAAACCCGGCTGTTAAGCTGGTTCCTGGACTGTTCAACCGTGCGTGATGCCTGCTAATTACTCAGAGCGGTCCTGAAAGCCGACAACCTTCTCAGGCCACCTCCAGACTCAACAATAAAACTGTTACAGTCTCCAACTTACTGCTAAGCTCCTAGCATTAGCCCCTGGGTTGAGTGAGAAGTGAAGAAAGGATTTGGGCTTTCCAGCTGCAGCAGGGCAGGAGGGATGGGCAGCCACGTGGGCCCAGGGTCACCGGTGAGGGGTCCTGGCGTCAGGCAGCGAGTGCCATGGGGCTTAGGGCCAAGAACCTGAGGCCTGGATGCAAATCCCAGATTCTTCAATTTCACTTCCTCACCTTGGACAAGTCACTGATTCACTCTGAGCCATAATTTTCTCTTAAAAAATGGGGATAAAACCAAAAAATCTCTGCCTCACCCCAGGACAAACGCAGAGCTTGAAGCAAACAGCAGACGCTTTGCAAACTGTGAAGTGACATATTCCAGGTCTTGTGGACTCACCGCGCTGAGCACTTGGTGGCCATGATGCCACCGAACCCTGGCAGTAACTCTTTGCGGCACGGTACTATCGCTCTCCGTTCCATCGATGAGGGCACTATGGCAGAGAGAGGCTGGATGACTTGCTTAGGGTCACATAGCTAACAGTGGCAGAGCCAGGGTTTGCAGCCCAGTGTCTCTTACACTGCGCTGGACGGATGGTTTCACAGGTGAGGGGTTGTCACCTCACGTCAGTCAGATTTCTGAAGAGGGAGATAAAGACAACCCTTCTCGTCACTAGAACAGTCCCTTGAACTTTGAGGAGGTCAGTGGGCAGTGTGCTTCTTACCTGGAGTCCTTCTCTGACGGCTTCCAGGAGATAGGGGATGATTGAGTAGTTCCACAGGTCGGTGAACCACACCCTGGAACCATCCACGTCGATGGGGCACGACAGGAAGAGCCGGGGGCCTGGGGACCACAGGGAACATCAGTCAGACTGAAACGGGGGTGGGGCAGGAGAAGCCAGCCCGGGCACCCCTCAAAGGAGGGACCCTGCATTTTCTGAGCGAGAGCAGAAATACCAACTGTCACGTGGTGGGCACAGAGCAGCAGGATGCTTGGGCTCCCTAACGCCAACCTGGGACCACGCTCCTCTCGGGAATCACCCCAAAGGGAGGCGAGGCTTTATGCAGAAAGATGTTCATTGAGATGTTAGTCCTAACCTTTGCAAATGGAAGCACAGTAGATGTCCGAGAGCACAGAAACAGTTAAGGAAGTGATGGTGCACCCACATTTGATTATTTTGCAGAGCGATACAGAATGCTCATGAGACAATGTGAAGGGCAAATAAAGAACATACTGTATGTACACTATGACTGCAACTACATAAAACATGTACGGACGAGGACAGAAAAAATAAGCTCAAACTACAATGATTACATCAGGATGGTGGGATGACCAATGATCTTTTTTTTTTTTCTCTGAAGCTTAAGCTTTAGGAATGTCGATAACATTACTTTATTTATAAAGCAATGCCAATCCCACAGGGTGGTTTCCACCTGGGGGAGCCTCGGGCTGGGGGACCCTCACTGAGCCCATAGTCTCTGCACCAGCCTGGGGCTGGACACTTCTCTCTGCTGCTCCTCAGCCCCCGAGCTCTGGGCAGGAGAGAACGGCCCCGGGATGTGGGTGCAGGGCAGCCCGGGGTCTGTCTAGGCTGTGCCTATCCTTCTGCCCCCTCCTCTAACCATGTGGCCAGTGCAGCATCCAGCTACCAGGGCCCAGGGACAGCCATCCGAGGAGGCCAGGGCCCCGGGAGCAGCAGTTCCCTCCCTTGCCAGCCCGCCTGTCGGCACCCACCCGGCCTCCCCTCCCCACCTATGGTGACGTCCGAGGAGCTGTGAGCCTCCAGGAAGCGGTTGAGGTGATGCCAGACCTTGGGAATCCAGTCGATGACTTTCACCAGCTCCACGTTCCGTACCCGTCCACCGATCTCCGTCTCCATGAGCTTCCGCCTCAGGAACCGGCCCAGGAAACCCTTCACGGGCTCCGTGTGGTTGGCACACAGCACCCACCTGGAAGAAGTCAGGAACACTTTTCCGTGACAAGGACTATGGCCAACCTCACGAATCAAAGCTCACTAGAGCTGGAAGGTGCCTATGTTAATACTCAACTGAACCCTGCACATATATCAATTCACAACTCCTCACAGCAACCCTGTACCATGGATATGATGGCCACCCGCTTCACAGGACGAAATTCTGAGGCACGGACAGGTTATGTAACGCGTTCAAGATCAAACAGCTAGTCAAGAGAAGAGCTAAGATTAGAACCAAGACAGTCCAACTCCAGAGGCTGAGCTCTGACCACCGAGCTAACTGCCCCTTGTGCTTGTGACGGGTTCCGTGCTGGGCTGTGGGGCTGTAACAATGACTCAGACACAGTCCCTGTTCCCCAGGAGCTCGCAGTCTAGCGGAGGAGGCAGATAAGAGGAACGAGAGATGACGAAACCTGGGGAATCAAGGAAGGCTCCTCAGAGGAGGGGACATCTGAGCTGAGACCAAAGGAGATGAATGGAGCAGCCACACGAGGCAAGGCAGGAGCAGGGGTCGGGGCGGCGGTGGGTGCAGAGCATCTGCAAAGGCATGAGCAGCAGTGTGGGGTGTTCGGGGAGACTGCCAGAGGTTCAGTGTAACCAGAGTTTAGACTTGACCTGCCGACCGAAGGGGCCTGGATTTCATTCTGGAGGCAATGGGGAGCCATCGAAGGACTTCTTGCATGAGGATTTATGGTCAGATTTGAATTCTAGAATGTTCACTCCGGTTGCCACTGGCACAGAGGATGGCCTGCAGGGGGGCCAAGGGGCAGGCAGGCATATACTGGTTAGAAAATGACTGCAACAGTGTGCTGGGAGATGACGTGGCGGTGACGGGGGAAGCAGGAGCAGAAAGGTCTTGAGGGACATTCAAGAGAAAGCGTGGATAAGACTGGGACAGCCTGGATGCAGAGGTGACCCATGATCTCAGTGACCTGGCGGGGCTGGTATTTCTCTGATAACTGCGATTCTACTTTCAACAGGGATGCCGGCAGAATGGCCATGAAAATGAGCCGGGGAGGGGGGGTCTCACCCCAGGAGACGGCTGTTCATCCTTACCTAAGGCCCCAGGCAGGGGAACAGTACGTGGAGGCCACACAACCTAGCGTGGCAGAAGTCCCACAGCCCAGCAGTGGGGTAGCTCGGTACGGGGCTGGGGCCCAGGGCTCACAGCAGCTGGAGCTCGAAGGCCACAGACTCTGCTCCATGGAGACATTCATAAGCATGAGCTTTCACTGCTCACGTCCACTTGGGACAGACAGACGTGCCACTGGTGACGTGCAGGGTTGCATGACGACAGTCCCTGCCCAGAGCTGCCCCCGGGGCACTGCTGTCCCAGGACTTAGCATCAAAGAGATCTGGGTGCAAGTCAGCCCTGCCATCGACTGGCTGTGTGACCTCACACAAACCACTTAATTCTCCCCATTTGTAAACTGCGAATGGTGAATTTAACGACTTGAGGCTTTTGTGAGAATCAAATGAGTGAAGCTGGGAAAAATGCTCACAGTTCCCGGCATACAGCAGCTACTCAAAAAGTGACTCCTTACCTGAAGTTATGATGAAGCTGCAAGTTGGGAGTAGAAGAGGTAGCCTGGTTCATTGTGCCAATTATATAAGGGCTGCGGGCGAAATGAAGGGTAAGAGAGTTGGAGAAGGTGTCGCAGCGTCCCGGGGCATCTAAGGGCCTAGGTAGATGGCTGCGGGCTGCTGCCCCTCCCCCCATGCGGCCCCAGCCCCTCCCTGCCACGTGCGTGCAGCGCTCCTACCCCCTGTAGCACACGTCTCTCCCGGGGGCCACGAGGTCCAGAGCTGCCTTTACCATTTGTGGTCCTTGCAGTTGAGCAGCCCGTTGAAGATCTCGCCCAGGGAGCTGACATGATGCAGGTTGTCCAGGATGATGACCAGAGGCATGTCCGCAGCGTTGTTCTCGCTGGCGCACTGGTCGGCGAGGTTGGACAGGTACTGGCGCAATTCCTGCGGAGGCCGGGCAGGAATGAGTGGGTGAACGCCCCCGGGAAGACGCACGTACTCGGGGCCTTCCCCTGCCCCGGGCCGGCACTGGCAGAGGGGCCCTTCCTGAGGCCTCACGGTAACCGGTGCTGAGTACCTGTCTGCTACAGGGCGTCTGCCTGGGCGCAGGGGGTGCGGGCGGGGGAGTGGTGAGGAAGGCCTGGGCCCTGGCTTCTGGAATTCACTAGGCAACAGAAAACCTGGGCAAGAGCAGGCACCATGGGGGTGTCCAGGCGCGGTGCTGTAGCTGCTCCAGCACTCTCTAGAAGTGCTACTATTTCTTACTCTGCCAACCTCCCAGGAAGCTCCTGAGTGCAAGTGCCTCATACATCTCTCTAAATGCACAGCACTGCCTGAGAGCCATCTACACAGGAGCCCTTGATGAGTCAGCACAGCAAAGGACCCCCTTGCCCCCCCACACACATATGCCCTGCTGACTAGTGCTGGGGCAGACAGACAGTGAATGGTGCAGGGGGGGTGGTCTCCACGCATGGGGGTCCTTGGAAGGTCTGCGTGAAAGGGGAACCTTTGGCCTTAACTGTGAAGAATGGGCAGGGAACTGATGGCTGGGGCAAGGGGCGCGTCAGAAAAGGGAGAGAAAGAAGAATGTGCGATGGGGAAAGGCCAAAACGGTGAGCTAAGGGCCAGCCAGTGAACCCAGAACAATTTCCTGGTGGTATTATCATCACCATGAGGATGGAGTGACCTTGCGCCAGGCACGGCTCTGGGACCTCACACATATGAACTTCTGTGCCCCACAATAACCCTCTGGGGTGGGCACTGTGACTGTCTCCATGTTACAGAGGAGGAAGCTGAGGCATCCCTCAGTCAGGTGAGCAGCCTGAGATGGCACAGAGGGTCGGCAGCAGGGCTGGATCTGGACTTGGTGTGGGTGCCTCCCCATGCCACTGTCCTGCACGCTGGCTTGGATGCTCGGGGGGTCATATCTCCTCTACTTCCTACACACACACACACGCCTCCCTTTTAAGTCAAAATGTGGCTTTTAGCAATAGAAGCAGCCCAATTTTTTAAGTTACTAGTTATCTTTCCTTTTAGCTCCTCTGCACTATGGGTTCTTGGCCTCTGGCACCTGACAATGCCACGGATCCTGAGGCTCGGAGCCCTCTCTTCCTTATGCAGGCTTGCAGGGTATAGTTGGGGAGCTATGCTCTGTACAACGGTGCCTGGCCAAGGGGAGTGAGTGGGGGCTGAATTCAAGCCTGGCTCGACCTCCAGCCATGCGCCTAGGATCCTTCTCTCGCTGGTCCCGGGAGAGGGCGCCTTCCCTGAGCTTATTCACGGAGGATCTTGGTACAGGGGCTCTGACCACTTCCCGTAGTCCTGCCCCTGTGTCCACGTCACTTGGAGAACTTGTGGTGCAAATTCCCAGCCCCACACAACCTACTGAAACAGATCATCTGGGAATGAGGTCTGGGAGCTGCATCTTCAAGGATGCCAGGTGATTCTTAAGGTGAAAGAGTCACTTCCAATTCACCTTTGACTTCCTGGCCCCTTTGGCCAGTCAGAGTGAATCACCCATCAACAACCACTGCATGGCTAATGAGCAAGTTTGAGAAAACACCTCATAACCCTAGGCTGGGACTAGCTCAGGCTGTCCGGACGTTTCCACCGCTCCCTGTGAGGCAGGATCAAGCCTATTTGCTGGCTCTGGGGTCTCAGACATCGACTTGCGCTCCAGTCTACTGCTCAGTACTATCTGAGTGGCTTTAGGTACATGGTCATCTGCCTCGAGCCTCAGTTTCCTCATCTGTAAAATGGGATTGTGACAACTACTTCCTTGAAGGTCCTGCTGTGGGGCGTTCAGTTTGCTGCTCCCAGGGGAAGCAGTCTGCGAATGCGAGCTGTCGTTGTTCTTATTATTGTTGTTCCACAAAAGAAGGTTTTCTTCTGGAAAAACATGAGAACCTAGTAGGCACGTGATGAATTTTTGGTAAACCGAAGTGGAAGCATCTGGGTTGACCTTAAAGAACTACCAGTGCTGAGCATCGTGCCCAACTCACAGCGGGGAAGCAAGAAATGAACTACATCGACTTACACGTGGAACTTCTTGCTGGGAAGTTTTGGATCAAAGCCTTCCTTTCTGCTAGTTCCATTCTGACCTCCTTCCCCAGGCTTTTAGAACCATCAAAGGTGAGCACTGTAGGAAATGCTGCTTTGCCATCACGGGGGTGGCGGCATCACTAGTTCTCAAAGGGCTAAGCAGCCGTCTCTGAACGGCCTCCTCACCTTGCTGGACTTGTGGTCCACATTGAAGGTGGCGATGACCCCGTCTGTCAGCTCCCGTCCCTCCCGGAGCACCAGGTACTCTGACAGCCGGTTGGCCAGGTAGGTCTTCCCAGTGCCGCTGGGCCCAGAGAGGATGATCCGCCGATGCTCCACCAGCAGGGAGACATAGCGCTGCAGGATGGGCTTGGGGATCAGGGACTCGAACACCAGCGAGTCCAGGCTGTTTTCCGCGAGCCCTGTGTTTGAGAGAGGAAGTGTTCGCAGCCCTGCAGAGAGGGTGGCTCTCTGTGCCTGCCCACCTGGAACTGCCAAAACGCAAGGCTATCCCTTTCCTGGGCAGCCCCGCCCACCCAGGGACACCGCAGGCTCCCTTCACCAGCACGATGTGCTCCGGCTCCTGGCTTGGCGGACTGTCCCCCCACCCCGATTCACCTTTAACATCTGGCCCCTCAGTCCTCATCCATCCTCTGCAGAATTCATAAGACTCTGAGCCCTACTTGTCTTTCTGGATTTACCGTTACCGGTGGTGCTGGCTCAAACCAAACGTGAATCCCCCGTGTCCACCCAGACCCCGGGGCTGCCTCTTCACCCTGTTTTTTCCTGCACGCCAGGTGCCGCTGCTGCCCACACTCAGATACACCACGAAGGTATCAACACTTTATCGTTAAAATGAGGAAAAACTCAAGGTAGGACCATTTGATTTGGGGATGTGAATACTGGCAGACCTCGGCTGAGCCTCTCCAACAACAAGAGAAACATCTTTCCCCCTCCCCGCCTGGGACAACTTCATTACTCAGGGCTGTTGGCTTTACAAGAGCTGTTTTCTTCATATCATTCCCAAGAGAGGATCCAGCCAAGGTTACTTATCCAGAACCTAAGGCAATTCTATTAAAAAAGCACCTCAAGAAACCACTATATGTAGGCAAAAAATGAACTGAAAAGCACTTACTCTGTTTTACAGTAGCGTCTTCCATCCACACAATTAATTCACTGCAAACAGACCCCCCTGACGCATCTATACATTTGTTTCCAATCTTCCCCAACCAAAGATAGCACAGTGGCTGTTCTAGAATCATCCTGATGAAGGATCCCAAGTGAGATCTTCTGGGTACAGGCCTAAGACTTTCCTAGAACTGGTATCAATAGAGCCTACATGGGCTCAAAGTCTGATGCAAAATATGGAGGATAGGGTCTCCTGTGTAAACTTAATAACAAACACGGGGCAGTGATTAAAACGCCGTGAAACCCCTCTCTTTGCGTCTACGCTGCTGTCTCAGTCTCTTGTCAAAACCCCCCTGGCAGTGACTACTTTGCAGACGAACTCACTTCAGAGCACACAAAGCCACAGCCCCTGCCCCGGTGCCACCGAAGTGACCCATCTGCAGCTCACGCATCTCTTTCAGCTCAAATCCTTGAGTGGTTTTCAGCGCCTTGAAGGCAGAAGTGTCAAGCACCACGGGAAAACAGAAGAGTCAGGTATCGCTTAAAAACAAAGCCGAGGGCTTCCCTGGTGGCGCAGTGGTTGGGAGTCCGCCTGCCGACGCAGGGGACACGGGTTCGTGCCCTGGTCCGGGAAGATCTCACATGCCGCGGAGCGGCTGGGCCCGTGAGCCGTGGCCGCTGAGCCTGCGCGTCCGGAGCCTGTGCTCCGCAATGGGAGAGGCCACAACAGTGAGAGGCCCACGTACTGCAAAAAAATAAAAAATAAACCCGAGTTGATCCCTAGAGATGCTAAAACAACTTGATGTGCTGACAGCAGCACCAGCTTAGGCTCCGTGGTGAGGTGGCCTGTTCGGGAAGCAGATAATCCTGTCGCTGTTTCTACAGAGGTTTGCTCTGGTCTCAGCAACGGGTCACTCCTTTGACCCGTCAGCGCTTGCAGTGCTCACCTGCTCGCCAGCGTGGCTGAAGCGCAATTTAAAGTCATGGTGTATCAGGCTTTCCCTAAAGGGTTCTTGGAGTGGACAGTTGTTGTTAAAGAGTGCCTGGCAGCCCTCCCTCTCTCCCCTTGTAGTGGGACTCTTCCTTCTTGCAAGGAGTTCATTCCAGCTGGTCCAAGCAGGGCTGACCCCGCACCTTCACCCCCCAAAGGGGTGGGCTTGTGACCAGGCTGGGCCAAAGCCTCTCCCCGGTCACAACGACTGATTTGGTGATGAGCACTTGACCCATGGTGGGCCAGAATCACCCCTAAGAATTTCCTGTCACGCTTGTCCAGAAAGACATTCTCTTTCTTCTAGGTTCCTAAGCTAGAAGGGTGCATCTGGGCCACTCATCAGCTATGTGCAGAAAGCTCAAAAAATAAGCCAAGCCGAGGTGGGCCTGGTCCTGATGGCACTGCTGGAGCGCCTGGATCCAGCTGCGCTCGAAGCCTATACCTGGATCTTCCAGGCACCTGAGCCTGTATGTTTCCCTTTGGCTAAAGCTCGTTTTGAGTAGGCTTATGTCACTTGCAGCCCAAGGCCACAATTATGGGATGCCAACAAGATAAGGCTGTGTGTGAGGCTCAAACAGGAACATGCTACTGGTCACCGGGGAGCAAGACCTTCATTCCCACTGATGCTTGGGGTGCTTCTAGAAAACCTCCCAGTTAGGAAACAAAGCTTGCCTCAAACAACCCCAAAACTACAGTCAAGACGCCTTACGGGGAAGAAATAAGATACCGTGAAGGCTGAGCTTAGGACGGTGTTTAGTAATCTCTTCTTTAAGTGGTTCATAAAATATAGGAAAAAGGGATTTTGCAGTCAAATGCGTTTGTGTCAGACTGGATCACACAGCTTTTTTAACGGCAAGAGTCAGGACATTAAAGGACAGAGGCTTTAGAGAACCTGTATGGGAATAACGATGCCGGACTTATTTGGCCATGAAACTTTTTTTTTTTCCCAAAAAAATACTTTGTGAGTCTAAAGTTCCACAGAACTTTAGCCTCAGGCGTAGCCGCTCTAGGTGATGAGGCAGCTGGAAGCTCGAACAGCATCGTGCGTGGGCAGGAGCTTCATTGCTTCCGCAGGGTGCTCCGAGCAACTCCTCTCTGGCCCACAGAGCATCGTGGTTTCCCATCTGTAGAATGGGGCTGCATCCAAGGCTCGCCGGCAAGAGTAACTAACTCACTGGTATCAGTGGAGCCCTGTTTCAACAGGGTTATTAAGATTCCATCATCTCAGAGTCATAAGGCCAATGGCACCTTTTGTTATGTAATTTCAGCAGTAAACTAAAATGATTTGTTTCCGACGGTCGCTGAAAAAGCTGAAGACGGTTCAACTTGCTTAGGTAAGAGTAACTGTGGTGGACGGGGATCAAAATGCAACCCACATATACATGCACAAACGAAATCATGGCCACAGGTTCCCGTGCCAAGTCACAGAACAAAACCTACAATTCTGGAAGCTCCCACCACTGCAATGGGCTTGGATTACCTTTGACGGCCACAGAGATGGTTGTGTTCTCTCCAACCAGGTAGCCACAGGGAAGAAGCTCGGGGGTCTCGGAGGTGTTGCTGCGCTTGATGTCCCCAATGCTGTAGCCGAGGACACTATCAGAGTTCAGCCCCAGCTGACTCACGGGGTCGACGTGAATGATGTATTCCTGGAAAATATAAAATAGAGACCCCGTCAAAGATGTGGCGAAAAATCTGCCCAAGACTCACGTCTTCACTGGGCGATTTACGATCATCTCCTCTTTCCCAGCTGATGCCAGAGTTGAAATCGAGCTGTGGAACGAGGGGCAGAAGAGCTGACTTTCTCTAGGGAGGATGCCCTCGTATCACAGGCCCCTTAAGGTACAGATGTATTCGGTTAGTGATGGGAGGGTGGGAAACCCTAACAAGATGGTGAACATTTAGTTATGGGTGAACTAAGCACTGAAAAGTTAAGCTGCTTTTCCTGTAAGTTCAGCTGAAGTCTTAAAGACATTAGGGCCTGTGAATGGTGCTGGAAAATGCATGAAAAAGTAATTCTGACAAGAAATCTCTCCACCAGCCCTTTCTTTTGGTTCAGGTCAAAGGCCATATAGTGACAAAGGGAACAAAACCCCGGGCTGCTAGAAAAAACCAGCTTAGAGTTTTAAACAAACAAACGTGTGTTTAATTTGGAAAGTGTCCCATCTTAGATGAGTGACCGGAAGGTTTTAGGTCAGTGAACTTGGAACGAAGTCCATGGGCTCCGCACGACTGAGGTGGAATCCTGATAACAAGTCTCTACCTTTAATGGTCTCACTTCCTCACGTGTGACGCCTCACAGGCTCTTTTCAGCCCCAACTGTGGTCTTTCTAATCCAGGGATGTCCCAACTGCCCAACAGCAGAGATAAGGTTTCGGCTGGGGCAGCAGGCTTGGTCTGCTCTAAGCCATTCCTGTCTCTCACCCCGTCTCATTTCTACAGACTGGCCTGTCAAGATGGGAAGTGAGCTTGGGTCAAAGAACAGAATTTTCTCTCTGTGAAGCCACCTGAGTCTAGATGCTAGGAGACTAGAGTATACTAGTTAAAAGTCAGGTTTTGATGTCAGACCAACTCAACTAGACCAATGTGGTCTCCGGCACAAAAAATGTGGGCTATTATTAATACTCAGGGGATGTGATTAATGAACACTTCTGGTTATGACCTACTTCAGGTCAATAGAAAAAAATGTACCAAAAGCTTCTTCCAAATCACCCAGTACGTCAGGGTTCACCTAGATGCTCATTAGTAATTTCTCCTGTGGCAAACACCCACTCCAGTGATGTGATTAGAATGAAGAGAAAAATAACTGTGCCAACAGCCTTGACACCAGCCACGGATCAGAAGTCAATGTCACACACAGCACAAATCACAGAGTCTGAAGCGTTGGCATGGGACGCAGGGTAAGTTGCATCAAATCCCCCTACCAAAATGAAGGGTGGAAGCATGATGTCGTAGCCCCAGAATACACGCTGCAAAACATACTCAACAGGACACAATTCTAAGGTGAAGAGAATGTAGACATTAGCAGTTCACTGTGAGAGGTTCATATAATCGCTCAAAACCAGGGAAGTGCCTCTCCCTGGCTGGCTAACCACTGCCAAGGGCAGATGAGAATAGTTGGTCCTGTTACCAGCCTACACTTACCATCCTCCTTCTGTTCCCTTGAGGGCCAAGGGACAAGTCCCGGCAACATAAGGATGTGGGAGAGGGGACAGGCCTGATGAATGACCAGGTTCGGGCCACAAACCACCCTTTCCCTCCCGAGGCCCAGGCCCCCGCTCGGGCGCACTGCCGTAGCTGTCATCACGAAGCACTTACTTTGAACAGCCGTCTAACTACCCCGTCGAGCACGTCCCACTTCGTCTTGCCACTAACTCCAATGCAGCCGATGAGAAAGAGGTGTGGTCTGGAATCCTAAGGGCAAGGGAATGTCCGCAGGTGAAAAACAGGTGGCTCCTTTCTGACTCAGGTTAGCAGAGGACTCAGACTGTCTTAGAGCTCCGCCAATGGTTTGAGAGGGGAATAAAAGTCCTATTTGTTTTAACACCAGATGTAACTTGGACTGAATGTAATGGTCTTAAACACTTTCCTCCCCTACTGCTAAAACAGCAACCCGTGGGTTAGGAAGAGAGGATCTCCTCTCTGGAATCTAGAACCTTCTACCGACTGTGCACCTCATATGGTGTGTAGATCACACATCCCTTGCGGGGAATGCTCTCCCCTCTCCTTTCTGCCATCTTTCACTTTCCAAACCTTGCTTACCAACTCACCTCTTCCAGGAAGCCTTCAATGATCAACCCACCAGGCTCAGAGCTCACATTGCTTCAACAGTTCTGTACACAACTTATATGATGATATATTCTGCACGGTTTATTTTTAGGTATTTGCCTTATTTGTCTATCAAGTTTGTCTCCTGGCTTGATCTGAAATTCCTTCAGGATGTTTTTCTTGTCTTTTCTGTTTTTTATAGTATTGATTTCTTTTCTTCTAATTAAAAGTTAAAACATGTCTAATTCAGAAAACTAGTAAAACTCCAGGAAATTCACAAAAAATAATCTTTGTTCTACTTCTTTTGCCTCTCTGCCCACAGGGCTCTGCATAGCGGGGGCTAACTGATCACTCTGATTAAAAGAAACTAATAGAACATTCCATTTTGTTTGGTTTTCCAATATCCGACATGCTGATAAGAATATAGAATTAGGAGAGTGGAGGGAGGTGGGGAGAGGAGGGGGTGTATTTGGCAGTTAAGCAAAATCAGCAGAGAAAAGAAACAGTGTTGAAGTGAGATGATCTGGCCCCATCACTTGCCTTATAGCCTTAGGTAAGTGATGCTGGGTCTTGGACTTCTCAACTGTAAAATGGAGATGATAAAATCTGGGCAGCCAACCTCATCTGGATGCTGTGATCCAGAACAAGACAATTTTGGAAAGTGACAGACTTCCGTAAAATGTAAGATCTACCCGTTTGTGTTGATGATCATTAGAATAAAATGCCTTCACAGATACCACCTGCGTTTATTAACAGAATGTTACAAGAATGGACTTCCCCCTTGATAGTCTATCACTCTACCAGCTAAGGTCTGAAAATGGAACTATTTTACGGATCTTTCTCAACTAGATCATGCTCAGACCCCTGGCGGCTCAAAATCCTGCTACCCTCGTCAGTGAGACTAGACAGCCAGCCACAAAGTAGAATCCCCTGGCAGAAAAGTCTGGCTGCAGACGCTTTGTTTTGATGGGCACTGCAGGCTCCCAAGCTTTCAGAGCCTACGATAGCGTGTTGCCTAAAATACTCAGAGCTAACAAGCAAACAAAAAAACCTCAAGGGACTTACATGAGGGGCTCAGGAGGTCTTTTCCCACTTATCTGAGAGATGGTCATTCTCAGCATCCTTTAGATTTAATTGATGACTAAAAATCAACTTTGACTGTCAACCCTTGCCCTCAACCTAAAACAGTCTCTGACGGGCGTATGACCTCTAGACGCTGGAAGAGAACAGAAACTACTCAGAAAACCCAGATTCCCCAGCCTCGGTGAGTCAGGGTGCCCCACCATCTTCACTGCTAGCCACCTGTGTGCTCCTGGGCTTGACCACCTCTATCTCCCAGTTTCTACTTGGTCAGCAGCCTCTGACGACTGGATTAAAACAGGTGCTCTTGGTCGGATGAATTTGGGTGGCTTACTTCTGTACCTTCTGTGCTAAATGTGCTCAGCTGCCTTTGAAGTGCTTTGGGAATATACTAAATTCAGAAAAGCCGTTTCTGACTGATGTTACTGTTTAGTTAGATACTTGAAAGTGGTGCAGTGTGGACCATTTTTAGAACCCTTTACACACTTTTCAAACACGAGAGACAGGGAGGGGCCGTTGGCCTACTTTCACGGTGTCAAAATGCTGCTGGGGAGTAGGGTTAGCTAGGGAAAGCGTTAGTACTCTTTCCAAATCACCTCAGGCTCTGAGGTGATGGGGCGTGATGATGGAATCACTATGCTAGGTAGTTCTACCTGGGGAAGGGACAGGCCAAGCAGGGTAAGGGATCCAACTAACCTCCTTCCACTTCATTTCCTCCTGAAAGCTGACAACTATCTTAACATGCCTGCCTCCTTCCTTCCGAGCCGGGCATTCACCAGCGTCATCCAGCAACATGTCTGCGAATGGAAAACATCAACAGCCTTAGGCACACGGGGACAGCAAAGCCGGCTTCCTGACACCCCCGCTGCTTGTCGGCACAGCAGCGGGACAAACCAGGTGTCGTGGTGCAGGGGAAGTGGGATGGGGGGTGGCGGGGGGAGAGGGCAGAATGCAGAACGCAACCACAGAAACCAACAGTGGACCAATCGAGGAGCCGGCGGGCTGACGATGTACCTTTGCCAAATGGAAGTGCGAGGGAGACTCAACCAAAACGACAGCAAGAGCGGCGTCACGGATAATAAATCAAAGCATCAGCCTCGATACGCTTACACACAGATCTGTGTGATCTGCCTAGATCACATTCGCTAATTATCGAGCCAGCCTGAATCCAGCCCCAAGGCAGGAAGGTCGTAAACCAAGCCAGCGTCCCAATCGGCTACCGAGGGCAGGTGGGGCAGGGGGCGGGTGGTATGCAGCATACGGCTTGCAGGTCAGCCTCTTCAAATGGATCGAACAGAACTCAGCATGGTGGGCGAGGGGAGCCAAGCTCATGGCTTGGAGAAGTTGGGGCGCTGCAGCGAAGCATGACAGCAGTCTAAGGGCTGGGCTCATGTTGGTAGCAGACGCACACCCACACACACGTACATCCTGAGCACACACGCGCCTGCTGCCTCTCCATTTGATCTGCTGATCTGCTCGTCTTGGGGCTCTTGCTTAGAGACCAGAGTGCCAGCTGCAGGCCCTGTGACGCCACTCACCCAGGCTGCTGGACTCAGCGAGGTTCAGGCTGTGCTGGGAGAGCCCCATGGACTGCCTTGGGGAGGTGGAGAGGGACGCCTGGGAGGGCGCCCGGCTGCAGCCACTGCCTTGAGACTCCGACTTCAGCCGGTCGTTCTCGGCTTTCAGCTTCTCTATTTCACTCTGCGAAGGGTAAGGGAGAAGCTCACTTACTAGGCAGCTACAATGCGAACAAGCCTTTCCTGGAGGAGGGAATTGAAAGTTCCCTGCAGGGATCAAGTGCATATCCCAGCCATGGAGGCAGAATAAGTTACACCAACAGAGAGATTCAACAGTGGTCACTGCCTTTGCTGTATACACAAGACCTCTCTCTTTTGGGTTTTTTTTTTTTGGCTGTGAGGCATGTGGGATCTTAGCGCCCCGACCAGGGATCAAACCCGCACCGCCTGCACTGGAAGGCGAAGTCTTAACCACTGGACCGCCAGGGAGGTCCCCCCACAAGACCTCTCTGGCACAGGAGGGTCCGAGAGCTGGCCTTTGACAAGACCTCAGAAATGTTTCCCAGAATCTGGGTGGTAAGTGGAAAAAGTCTTATCTAAGAAGTTTGAAAACTCTGGGTTTCTCAACCCAGACCTTTACTGCAGGACTTCTCAGAGCCTTTAATAAGTTGGTATGCATTGTGAATCTGAGAGGGGCACATAGTGTGCAACATTTCCCAAACATTTTTGATCAAGGAGCCTTCTTTTCACAGTTTCTTATGGAATGAGCGTTTCACGGAAACTCCTCTGGGAAACGCTGCTCTCCAGTGAAAGCCGATTTAGTAGAATCCACAGTGGTCTTTCATTCCATGAATACTTATAAAGAACCTACTATGTGTTAATAAGCACTGGTCCTACATCCAGAGAAAGGGATGCAAAACAGAACAGCTCAGAGACTCAAATGCCTTCAATCCGTGTCCAAAGGTGAGAGGGGCCGTAGGAACAAATCTATAGGGATTCAGATGAGGGCAATACACTAACTCTCCAGCTGCAGAACTTGGAAAGGCTTGGCAGAGGAAGAAGCGTCAGGCTGAGCCTTGAGGGAAGCTTCCAATCTAGATGTGGAGAAGGCTATCCCAGCGGAGGGAGTGTGGCAGGAGCAGCTCCTCCCCGGGCAGCCTGGGGCTCAGCCGCACTCCCGGATCTCACCTGCATCCTGTTCATGGCCTCCCGCAGCTGGTCCAGCTGGTGTGCAGAGCTGAGGGCTTCCAGGCGGATGTCGGTCAGCTTCATCTCCTTGTCTCTCAGCTCGTTTCGGAGCTGCATGACCGTCTCGGCTTCACTATCCATGCACTCCGAGATGCTAGGGAAAGAGGAGTGTTACTGACCAAGGCGGCTCTGAGTTCAGCTCCTTTTAGCCCTCCACTGACCACCACGTCATCATCAGGTTTGCTAAAGAGTAACCCCGTATAACCAGCTGCCCGGTGCTTCCCGGAAGTGACAATCTCAATTCACAGACTTTATTACTTCTCTACACTCTTTCTTTGCAGAGCTCTGGCAATCTGAATGGCTCCGGTATGCCTTTCAGCCAAATTCCAGTGATCTAGGGATAAACAGGAGCCAGCAAAAGGGAATGGTAACCTTGGGGGTTTGAAACCCTCCGTGATGTGTACACAGCTGGGCCCCTATAAAGATACAGCATGGCCCTTGACAGCTAAACCCACTCAGAGACATGAGGTCAACCGTCTGTTGTAAAGGCAGACAGGGTCAGACAGCTGAGGGTGATTTTTATTTGCCAAAAAGGGGAAGAAACCAAAAGACACGGGTGGAAGATGCTAGTCTGTTTCTGGTCACATTCTAAAGCCCACTCCCCTACAGATGTCTAGAGAGAGAAACATTCTTTCACCCCCCCACCCCCCATACTGCTTAATAAGCCCACGGCAAGGAAGAGAAACGTCGCAGGTAGTTAGCAGAGAGTAATGTGACATGAAAGCCAAAATTTTATCTGAAAACATGCAACAGTGTGGTGAGCTGTCCTCCTTCCCCAGCTGGACACCAGATCAGGAGACTGTGGGACCCTGTGAGTCCCTCTGTTTTAAGAGGTGGACCTTCCAGGCTGGGTTCCTTATTCGATTACTTAGGTTTGCCTTTCAGATACTGGCAAGTCAGCACAAACTGGAAGATCATAAAAGTCATGAGGAATTGCAATGTTAGAAAAGATAGCTTCCATTAAAAAAAAAAAAAAAAAAAGTTCGGTTGATTTCAAAGATTATAGGAGCTGAGGTGTGGGGTGATCCAGAAGAGAAAGCTTTGACATTTCTTGGAACTAAAACAGAAAAAAGAAAGGAAAAATAGCCCAAGTTCATGAAGTTAACAAAGCTGAAGCTGATTATCTCTGAACGACATGGTGAGCACGTAGTCTCTGCAGAAATAACCACTCGAGCCCTCTCTCCAGGACCCACGTACTGGATTCGAGGCCAAACCAAACCTGACCTGTGAAACGGGGAGAGGGGGTGGAAATGTTAATTGCCAGAGGAGAGCCATGATAATTGTTAAAAGAGATGTATTTCAGGGGCAGAAAGGACTAGAAGAAAAATGTAACGCCTGAACAGCCAAGTCTTTTTGTGGCTACTTTCTTGACCTGCACCCTGAACGGTTTTGAGAGATACAAAATCATCTCCTATTTTAAAAAGTTGTCAGCATCCAAGAAAACTTCTCCGCTTCAAAATCTGAAACCTCCGACAGACCCTTGAAAAATCTTATAATTATTCCCATTTCATACCTATGAGAAACTGAGGCCAACAGATTTGGGACTAAAAGGGCTAGAGAGACAGTAATGTCTTTAGAAATCAGATCCTCCTCTGCCCCCGCCAACCCCCCAGCTCTCTGTGCTTTGGATAGCCTGTGGTTTGTAGGGCTTAACTATATACAGTCATACTTTCTTTGGTTTGGGAGGTTTTCGAGGGGAGCTTGTAAAAACTGGTTCTTTCTTGGGAAAGGACTATGGTTTCTGGGTTTAAATGGAGTGTAAAGTCTGAACAAAATTCCACTGTGACATTCTGGTCTTAGCCAAACCATGTCCTGCATAGATCTCGAAGATTCCAGTTCACTGCAGAGAACAGTCAGCTTTAGTCCACCCTGTCTGTCTGTCTGTCACACGGCAAGGTGCTTTGCTCCAGTCTCCTTCACGTGGCCTGTGCTTTTTCCCCAGAAAGCTTTCTCAGCAAGAGAGACAACATCTCCTCCGCACCCACTTTGTGGAATTTATCACATGGGTTACTTTGTGAAGCTTGGCCAAACAATGACTTTACAAAGGGGAGCAAACTAAAAGGAAGAAAGTCTGCCGGGAGTCCAAGGCCCTCCCGTGTCCCCCACAGATCGGCCAGTTCTCAGAAACACAGCACAGCAAGGCCGCACAGGAGGGGTGTCCTACAACAGAGGTGATGTTGAAAACAAGCCCCAGCTAAGAGTTAGTCCCCCTGGGCCTACTGCCCAGGACAGAGCCTTCTCCCTTGGTTCTGCCGAGTCACTGATAATCACTCGTGCATGGCCCCTGGCTCCCCTAGGACCAGGGTTCTTCTCTGCCTCATTTGTAGTATCTGATCACACTGATCGGCACATAATGTTTACTGAATACACAGACCACTGTGTCAGGCATCTGTAGCGTATTATTTAATGCACTACGTACACTACTAACTTTCTGGAAGAGACACTACAATTATCTCCATTTTAAAAACGGGGAGGCTGAGACAGAAAGAAATTGACATGCCCATTAAAAATGTGAGAATCAGGGCTTCCCTGGTGGCGCAGTGGTCGAGAGTCCGCCTGCCGATGCAGGGGACACGGGTTCGTGCCCCGGTCCGGAAAGATCCCACGTGCCGCGGAGCAGCTGGGCCCCGTAAGCCATGGCCGCCAAGCCTGTGCATCCGGAGCCTGTGCTCCGCAACGGGAGAGGCCACAGCAGTGAGAGGCCCGCGTACCGCAAAAAAAAAAAAAAAAAAAAAAAAAAGAATCAGTAACAAGTCTGATGGGTCTGCTTAACTCCAGGGCGCAACTCCTGAACTTCATCCAGTAGGCATGGATGGACACACACTGGTCCCCTCTATGGACCACTTACTGAAGCAACCTGATGTTAATTTTTCCTACTCAGCCCCTAACACTTAATTCCAGCATATTCATGCCGTCATGCCCAGGAGGCAGGGCTGGGGGCATACCTAACTTTACACACCCTAGTGTGGGAAACACTGCCTTCCCACACGGCCATTCCTTCCACCCACGGGGTAGGAACTTTTCTGAGCCCCGATTCCTCTGCCTTTGGTTTCTTCTTTGAACGCCCTCTCGCGTCTAGATCTGCACATTCTTACAAACCCTTCAAGGCTGGAAAGAAGCATTTGCTCTCTGCCCACGCTTTGGAAAATCAGACCCAAAGCAAACATCTCTAGTGTGCATGGATGCTGTGGAATGTCAGGAAAGGGCTGCCGAGCCAAAGGGTGGGCCCGCCTGCCCGCCCAGTCCCTATGGGGAAAGTGGTTTGGGGGAGCGCTCCTGCTACAGGCTCCGGGAGCCCCGTAGGCTGAATGCATCGCTGCTTGGCCGCCCGGCAGCTTCTGGCCCAGTGACTACTCCCGCCTCCAAACAGTTTCTTCTCTCTGCTTCTGGGTTTCCACCCACCTCGCTGGCTGCTCTACTTCCTCTTCCTGAACCTCAGATATGAGAGAGTCCCAGAGCTCAGTCCTTGCCCCTCTGCCTCTTCGCCATCTCCATTCAACCCCTTGGAGAATCCCTCCAGCTTCCCAGCTTTCGAAACCACCGCTGAGGCCACGTCTCCCAAACCTCCACCTCCAGGAACTCCAGGCTGGCTGGCATCTCGACAGGGATGTCTCCTGGGCATCTCAAACTTTGCACGGTCAAACCAGAGCCGCTGATCCCCACCTGGCCCCGTGTGTGTCTCCCACTCATGCCAGAAACAACGCCGCCACACACCGAAGTCTTCAAGTGGCAGGTCTAGGAATATTCAAGGACTCTTCTCCTTCCCTCACAATCCACCTCACCACGTGCCCTCAACTTTCCAGAATATATCCTAAGTCCACCCGGGACTCATCACTAGCATCAATCACTCATTCCACCTAATATCTGAATGCCCGCGAAACAGACCGCCTACCTCCATGGAGCTTCAGCTGTAGACTGGGGGGCGGGGGCAAAGAAAAAATAACCAAGGAAAAGCTCCACGGCAGGTGGCGATATTTGCCGTGGTGAAAAATAAAATGGGAAGGGGGCTGTTGGGAGCGCTGGCTGGTGATGGGGTGTTTTAGGCAAGGTGCCTAGGCCAGGCCTTACTGGTGGGGTAGTAACACTGAGCAGAGGCCCGGAGGAAGCGGATCTCTGGGGAGGAGCACACCAGGCAGAGGGCACAGAAAGGGCAAAAGGCCCGGGGAGGTGGGGGTGTGAGTGGCCAGTTCAAAGAACAGGAAATGGGCCAGAGCAGCTGGTGGGGAGAGTGGCCGTCAGCCTCTTCCATGGTCTCCCTCCTCCACTCCTGCCCCACTATGTCCCTGACCCCCTGAACGGAGACTCCCACCTTTGTGAAGCTAATTCAGATGATCTCACGCTCCTGCTGAAAACTCTCCAAAGCCTCCTTATCACACAGGACATCAGCTGCAAGTTCACCTTGGCTTTAAAGCCTCACATGTCCTGGGCGCCGCCCCTGCATGGCTGGCCTTCCTTCCCACCACTTTCTCACGCGCCCATGACGCGGCAGCCAGGCTGGCTAGCCTCCCCTTTCTCAGACACACCGGGCCTGCTTCTGGGTTCTGTCGGGAGGGCTGCCCTGCTTGCTGGCAGGCAGAGTCGGCCACAGGTTTACGACGGCCCACCTCCTTCCCCTCCCGGGCACACTCATGTCACGTCTTCCCGCCAAGGTCGGAAGCCCTGCTCAGTGGACGGTGGGAAGAGGCCTGGTCCGCGACACACACCTGCAGGGCCTCCACACTCTCTCCCCTCCCCGCTTGCTGGCTGGACACTCAGCAGAGGACACGGGCCCGCGGCACAGAGGGAGCCTCGGTGCCGGCATCACCACACGGCAGGCCGCCTGCCCATGAGGGTTATCTGCGTTGGGTCTGGAAGGAAGCAGAGACCAAGAGACGCAGGCAAAGGCGCTGACCTTTGCGACTGAGTTTGTCACAGCAGCTAGTGTTACCAACGAGAACTAACCAGGGGTTCTTCCTGGCACACAGATCTCGGCTGAAACGTCATCTCCTCAGAGGGGCCTTTCTGGACTACCCCCGCCTGCAGTTGCCGCCAAGGTACTCTGTATCCCAACACACTGTTTCAGTTCCCAGCATGAACCCTTGGCACTATCTGATCCTTCTAGTTTATCCAGATTTCTGTGCTTAATGCCCGTCTCTCCCCCTGACATACAGGGTCTACACCGGAGTTGGGACGTGATCGTCTCATCCACTGTCACCGGAGCCAAGAACAGCGCCTGGCACGGAGCAGATGCCAGGAGATGCAGCTCTACCGTTTCACGTCCCCGTAGTCCCTAATCCCCAGGGGTGGTTAATATTCTCTTTGGTCTCTCCAGAACCGTCTTGGGTAGTGTCCTGCTCACACAGGCTGGCATATGAGAAGTTTATACCAATACATAAAGAACAGATGAAGAGTTCCTTTTTCTCCTGGCCGGGAAACAAACAACTGGATTGAGATGCTCTGGGATAATGGCAGGTGAGTCACGGGCAGCCTTGTCCTTTATTTACCTCTTGGGCACTCTTCAGGTCAAACAGGACTCACGCTCCTGAACACCGGGTCTAACCCTCACACCAGCACACGGGGCCTCAGGCGGGCACTGCACTCCAGTGCTCAGCACTCCTCTCCACCCCCCCCACTTGGGGTTTCGCCCTTGCCCAGAATGGACGTGCCCGTCCGCACGGCCTCCCTCTTACCAGGGTGCTCCCCGAGAGAAGAGGAGCTGCTGACCTAAGTAAAGCAGACACCCTGACGAGGCCATGCTTCACTGGCAGGTGGGTTCATAAAAAAGTCAGGGCTCTACGCTCTGTCTCCTTGCTTGCACTGCCTGTCTCGTGTGCAGTCCGGGCAGGCGACGTGCTACAAAGGCCTGGCCCACCCTCTCACCCGCGTTCCCTGCACCCATCTGGTGAGCTGGCTTTGGGGACGCTGGTGCAGGCCGCTGTCTTCTGCGGGCAGGCTGAGTGGACCTGGGGATGGCGCCAGACCTGACCTCCTGAGATCGGAAGGAGGTTGCCCTGCACGCACGGGATCTGAGTCGGCCCTCACGAGCACCCAGTGATGCAGATCCCATTTTCATCAGTGAAGAAACTGAGGTGTCTACCACTACCCCCACCCCCTTGTCCAACCCTAGCTCGCTGGCTGTTCTGACCCCGGCCACAGCGGTCCTCTTTCCCCAGGCACTGTCTTATCTCGTGGAAATTGCCTTTCCAGACCACTTGAGCTCTGGTTCCTCTTTCGCTCCTCGCCTGGTTATGCCAAGGGCTCTGATGGAACTCAGCCCTAGCTCTGATTGCCCTATTGCGGGGCAATCCTTTTCACCGCTGCAGGGAGTCAGCTGTGCCACCTTCTGAGCAGACACCTGGGTCCCCGCCTGTCTGTCCCAAGCCATTCCTGACCTCTTTCTAGATTCTCGGCCTCATGTTTTGAGATGGGGCCCTGATGGAACAATGCTCAATGGGTGCTCGGTGGAAAGCACGGGAGCTTGGCTGGGCAAGAGGAGGTGACTCTTCCCTTCTACGTACCTCTCTGCCAAGGGCAACAGCACCTAAGCCAAGGCCAAGGGAGCAATTGCCTGTCTCACTCAACCAGCTGTGCTCCCAAAGGGCTCTGTACAAACTGACTCATTTACAGTCGACTGGGAGAGTTCATGGTGATGAATCACTCGACGAAATACAGAGCCCTTTGGTAAAGAGAATCGTCACTGAATTGCTCTGTTTTTTTAAAGTCTTATTTCTGAGTGCTGACCTCAGAGAAAGAGTCAACACTAAATGTTGATCAAAGAAGAAAAGTATAATCTCTCTAAGCCCCGTCACCCAAGTGAACCAGAATTTCAGCCCAAACTGCCAACACTTATACCATCATCTCCCTGTCAGAGCACAACGGCTGTTGTGCTCTTCACATCTACTTATCTTGTCCAATCCTCAGGATAGGATAAGGAGACAACTATTATCCCAATCTGACAAAGAAATGGAAACAAAGAGAGGTTAAGCCGTTTGCCCAAGATCAGCCAGCTAATTATTTATTTATTTATTTATTTATTTATTTATTTATTTGCAGTACGCGGGCCTCTCACTGTTGTGGCCTCTCCCGCTGCGGAGCACAGGCTCCGGACGCGCAGGCTCAGCGGCCATGGCTCACGGGCCCAGCCGCTCCGCGGCACGCAGGATCCTCCCGGACTGGGGCACGAACCCACGTCCCCTGCATCGGTAGGTGGACTCTCAACCACTGAGCCACCAGGGAAGCCCCCAGCCAGATAATTATGCACACCGATGCCAGCAGAACAGAAACTCGTTTCCTTTCTCTTTTAAACTCTCTGGTCCTAAAACACCGCAAGAATACGCTCGGTCTTATGAACGCAAGGCACAAAGGACCCCAAGGAACATAGCAGGACTCCTAGTCATTCCTGCTGGAGAGGGTTCCCAGGGGCCAAAGATGCCGTCTGACCCGAGTGACCCCGGCAGACAGAGACTTACAGAGAATTGGAGTGAGAGTTCCTCAGCAGGGGAGTGGAGCCCATGGGACCGTTGTGTGGTAACTTTGGTGAGGAAGGCAGAGAAGAATCCGTCATCTCCTCAATGTCTGAATGAGAGGATGCCGACTTGGGGGACTTCTTCTTCCCGAAGGCTTGCTTGAAGGAGCTGCGTAACTGAACACACAAGACCGTCAGCCTGGCAGGAGGTGAGACCACCCCTTAGGCCTCGGCAAAACAGAGACATGCAGAGTGAACAGCAGATTACTTCTCCCGCGGTTTCCCCCCAGCAATGAAAAAGGTTCCCAACAGCTCTCTCAAATCAGTGAATTAAGGGAAGAAGAGTTATCTGGTGTTGACAGCTCAGGGGACTGGACCTGTGGATAACATTCCATGCCTACTCTTGGCTCAAGACTAGATGCCAACAGCAAGACAGAGCCTGGCTCAGCAGATGGATGTCGAGAGGAGGAGGTGACACAGCAACAAAGCGGGGTGCTCAGACACGGTGACGGGTGCAGATGAGGTTAGTCATATCAATGGATGGGTTAGCTTGGTATCTGATATTCACGTTGGTCTTGCTTACCTCATTGACCTGCCAGAGAAAACGCAAGCAAAAATGGGGAAGGGGAAGGAAAAAAGACAATTTTTAACAGAGAAAGCCAGTGACAGGGAAAGCTTCGGACTTTTCAGACATGACATGGCTAATAATAAACACCATACAGAGAGGAGGTTTCCGGTAGGATCAAGAATCTTTCAAAGCATTAAGGGCATCCTCCTCTATTATGGAAGGAGAGGAAGAGAGAGTCTGGAGGCCCCTATAATCCGAGCTCTGCAAGCTTCTCTGTCTGGTTGAAACGACTGTCCCACCCTCCTATACTCCTCACTCTTTTCTGGCCTTTTATCAGTCATCTATAAGCCTTATTATTATTATTATTTTTTGGCATGTCTTCTTTTCTTAGCAAGGGTAGCTTCTTTGCTGCACTGGTCCCAACATGGCTGCATAGCTCTTTGATATGTATACTTAGGAGCTGCTGCAGTCCTTCTATACACGTAATATAATAAAAGCAGAAAATGAGCTGTCTCGCTTCTTGCTCAAAAAAATGATATCTTAAAGAAATGTATTAACCATATTGGGAAAAAGGAACTGGTATATCACAGATTCCCCAAACCACGAGATGGATCTGAAAAGTCTAGTGAGAACATAAAGAATTTAAAGTGCGAGGTCTGCTCTGAAAGCCATGATAAGCATGTATTTTTCTAGGCCAAAAAATAAAGTTTCATTTTGAAAAATGTCTCTTAAAAAGTAATTGCCTTTTTCTAAAGTCTTTTTTCTCCTACTGAAAACGTATTCTGGACATCTTCTTAGCCATTGTGAAATTCAGAAAATGGGCCGTTCTGAAATAATGGGAATTGTCTCCCATCAAAGTTTCACCCGTAACAATCTGCTTGTCCGGCTTGTGGGCGAGTCTGGATCCCATTTCTCTCCCATTTCCTACTTATGGCTGCATTTCCAGAGAGTAGCCATAGAAAGAGAAGGGTTTGGTGTACGTCAACCTAAATCCTTGCCTCAACCTCTGGTAAAATGCTCGGCATTAGAGCAGACAAAATCAAGCTCTGGGATTCCGAGGATGCCAATTATCCATCCTCCCCAATTGCACCGGTAACCAAGAGTTGTCTTAAAATAAACGAGTTTTATTTCCTGAATTAAAGAAAATGGATAAACATGATATTTCATAGAAAATAACTCTCATCACGTTGATAATTAAATCAGACCGTATTTATCAACAGCACATTAGAAACATGAGTTAATTCGGTTGGTTTAAGTCATAGCAAAGGAGTTGACTAAAAGCCATTAGTAACGTAAGGAAAAATTTCATCGGAACAATGAGAGGACCACACTGAACTGGCCTTTCGGCTTGCCTCCGATGCGAGCCATCAATAAGCAAAATGACTAAATCCTCGGCTCCTCCATCAGGAGACCTCGCCACCCATCCAAGATAACACAAGATGAGGGGGAAGTGTATGGAATGAATGAGGACGATGAAGCTACTGTGAAAACACGATGCTGTCAGCATTGACAAACGGGGTCCTGTGAGTCCTGGCCAACTTCAGATCAACCTGGGGTGTCCCTGCACTGAAGTCGGCGGGCGGCAAACGTCTGTCAGAGCTGACTGTCACAGCCCTGACAGCAGAACTAAAAATTGGGTGGGGAGAGGGGAGTGGAATTTCCCAAGAAGAATGGGAAAAGCTGTTCAAGAGGCCACTGTACAGAAGGCCAAGTAGCTCGATGGGATTATGGAAACGTGGAGAAACACCGCATTGGACACTGGTTCTATTATATTTGCTATTTTGAGGTATGATTTCCACCACCCCCCCCCAATTTAGAACCACTCACTAACTGCTAACAAGTACATTATGAAGCTTTAACTTACAGCAAATGGTCAAAAAAATTTCAAAGACAAGGGTGGGTGATTTAATGCTATCATAGGCAACTATGTAAATAAATAAGATAAGGACTACAGTTAACGATGGGATAACTAGTGATACATATTCCAAAAACTACTTTGGAACTAAGGAAAAAACCACTTAAGAGTAACTTTGCTCTAGTAACTGGAACTCTGTGGCCAGCGTATGAGGAGGAAGAAATGACACATATGCAATGAAAGATGAGTGCTTCACGTAGTCTCATGAAACAGAAAAACTACAAAGAGGTAGTGATTTCATAAATCCTAGGGTTTGACTGAGCACCACGCTGATTTTAGTAGAAACCTGTCCACAAGCCACTTCTCTGGATTGACTTCCAAAGGTCTATGTTGTGAAGTTAAGAGCTAGCCTGGGCTTTATCTGGGGCACACCGTCTCCAAGCCTGACTCTGCTAGTGCCCACGAGAGTCTTTGGATGCACACTTACCCAATTCTTTCTCTTCTTCTTCTTTGAATCACTCTCTATGTTGCTGCCCACGCTGGAGTGACTGGTGGCACTGTTGATGCTGGAGACGCTGTCGGAGGAGTGCTGTCTGCGGATACGGAGGTCTGCGGACTGGGAGGTACCATTTCCTGGAGACCCAAGGCAGGACATCAGGAGTTGCTGACTTGAGCCCCTTCCTTTGCCCCAGGATTTACACCTAAATCCACACACCCAAGGACTAGGAGCTATTTCCCATTAGACATCACCTTCTGTTCCGCAATGCTGGGTTTCTTTTTAATTAAATTTTTTTTTTTTTTTTTTGCGGTACACAGGACTCTCACTGTCGTGGCCTCTCCTGTTGCGGAGCACAGGCTCCGGACGCGCAGGCTCAGGGGCCATGGCTCACGGGCCCAGCCGCTCTGCCGCATGTGGGATCCTCCCGGACCGGGGCCCGAACCCGTGTCCCCTGCATCGGCAGGCGGACTCTCAACCACTGCGCCACCAGGGAAGCCCCCTGCGATGCTGGTTTTAAGGTCCTTGGGTAGCCGAGTGCCACGCCCTCTTTGGTCAATTAAAGGAGGGCTCTCTCCACTTTACAAAACAGGAGTCAGGGGAGGCTTAGTGATCCCCCCACACTCACTCTTTCGAGCTAAAATGTGTCTGTGAGTGGTGGCAATAGTCATCTGTGTCGTGAGTGCCCCTCCTTTGCTCTCCCCGCTCCTCCCGCACCAGCCTTCTTTCATGCCCTTGGACATGCCAAGCCCACGTCCTCTCACCACCTTACAGGTGTCATTCTCTCTTCCTGGGATGCTCTCCTCCCTCTGCTCTGCCTGGCCAGCTCTTGCCAATCCTTCCCACGCCACCGCTAGCCTCGCTTTCCCAGGAGGTCTGACGTTTGCGGTAACAGTGGTACCAGAAATAACACTGCCCAGAACAGTAGTGAGACCAAAATAAAGTTTGCAGGCAGTGCTCCTCACAATCACAGAACGACCCTGACAGCCCGGTCTTTAAGAGCACTGGTTTCAGGGGCAGACCAGGGTTCTCGTCCCATTTCTGTTTCTCACGCTCTGTGGCCTCAGGATGGGACTCTCGCCTCTAAAATTCAGTACTCCCCTCAGTACAGTGCGGAGGACCAGCATTGCACTCGTAAGCGTGTTGTGGAGAGGAAATGGAATAATGAAATCATGTAAACACTGAGCATGGTGCTTAGAACACGGTGAATGTTCCATAAGTGTTAACTCTCACCATTACTTTTCTTTCGGTTCTCTTAATATCATTTTCTGGATGTAACTCCTCCTCATGCCCATATCTCCCCCCACCCCCAAGTAAGATACACAAGGACAAAGCAATCCTTCCAGAATATTTTCCGGGACAAATGAGAGACGAACCCATTTCAGGCTGTCCCAGGTCCATATGTAAATATCAAAGCATTAGTGAAGTTAAGGCTATGAAATACTTTGACACTTTGCCAACAGAGATGTATTTTCTTCCATTTTGAGATACATCAGGGAAGATGAGCTGGAATAGCTGTTTTCCTAGAGGCTGGAAGCAACTGGATTAAGTGCCTTCTAGGACCTGTCCGACTGACATGGACACCCACCCTCTGGCGGGGAGGTTGCATCATATATTGTCAAGGGAGGGTTCCTAAGGGCAGGCAGGTCGCTGGTCTGAGGCTGTTTCTCTCCCTTTACCTTTGCAGTTGAGCTCTGGGGTGTTTATTACCCCATTAATGGCCGCCTGGGCAGCTGCGTTCTGTTTCTTCAGCAGCTCAATGGTTTTTCTTAACTCATTCAGTTCTGAATCCTGAGGAATAGAAAAAAACAGTGGTCATCCCCAAATCATTTTGTACCGAGTTCAGCTGAAGTACAACTTAGCGTCAGCTTAGAGGAGGGTAGAGAATGAAGGAGTTGCAGGAAACCTTTTTCTCAAACATTAGGTTGAATCAGTTTTTAATAGGCACATGTGAGTACATCAACGCAGAAGGAATAGGACTCAGATCTGTTGCCGATGCAGTTAACTGCCACTCCATCTAGGTCATATTTTCACTCAGCAGACCTATTCTTTCAGATTCAATTCCAACAGTCCAACAAGCACACTAAAATCTATGCAACTCTCTGGAATACAAGAGAATAATGTTTTTAGGTTTGTTGTTAATTCCAAGCAGGGAGGAAAGAAGCATTCTTTCTGCTTTACCTTCTGCTCAGCCGTCATGGTTAAGCTCTGGAGCCTGATTGTCATGTTTCCAAGACTCTGTTCAAAGGCCGCCACAAGGTGAGCCTGGAGGGGAAAGACACATTTCCCTTCAGTCACATTATCTTGCAAGGTAGGAGTGCCTAAAGGGTGCCAAGGTCTCAAAGACGGAAATCCAAATGGAGCCACGTGGGTTAACCCGTCGACTTCTTCAGCCTCTTGAGCTCCACCTCGCACCACTCTCTGGGATCCAGTTACTCTAGACTTTCACGTCCTTCACGCCCCGTGCTTCTTCCCACCTTAGGGCCTTTCTGCATGCTCTCCCCACTGCCTGGAATGCTCTTCTCCCAACTGCCTCCCTAACTGATTTTCACCCATCCTTCTCGACAGACCTCAGCGCATGCCTTCCAGACACCCCCAGATTGGGTTGGTTCCCTCCCATTCACTCTCACAAGCACACTGGACCGCACTGTGGTATCACAGTCAAACACACACACACACTCTTGTGATTGCTGATTTACGCCAGTCTCCACTACACTGCAGGATGACCTTTTGTTCCCCAAGCACCAAGCTCATAGTAGAGCCTCACGTTGAGTGCGTTTGTAGGATAAATGAACGAAGTGGTTGGCAGATGTTGCTTGTTATAATCCTGGTTAATAAAAAAGCCACTGAAAGGCCCATCTGCTACCTCCTTAGAGAACCTGCCCACTGTTTTCCCTGGAGTTATGACTTTCCCTGGGGCTCCCCTGCACTTTTGTATCCCTGTTAGAAGACAGCATCAGACACACCATTATTTTACATTTTACAAAGACAGTTTTCAAAATGCCGCCAATTATAGTTGAAATATGCATCCAATTTTCAGAGATGTGAAAAACATGAAAAAAATATATACCATAGAATTGAGAAATGTGATGCTTCCCTATCTGCCCCTTTCTCTGAAACCCTCTTCAAGGGCAAGATGCAACTCTGTCCCCCAACACTAAGCCTTTTTCCTTCTTCCACAGAGCAGCAGGTGAAATATTAGTTAGTTGACCTAGGATCCTGATAATATTGTTAAAACCAAAAATAAAGAATGGACAACTCATCTAATCCTACTGGCCTCAGTTTCTTCATCTATAAAAATGGAAGCAATATCTATGTTCCTCCCAGGGTGATTGTGAGCACTGAAAGAAACTATATAGTTGAAAATGACCTATAAACTGTTAAGGAATTGCAAAACACAGGAATGACTAGAGACTACAGGGAAAGGAAGGGATTTGGGACTGAGAAAGGGACGAAAGATACTATGAGAACACAGGTGTGGAGACATCAAGAAAGGGTTCTAGGAGCGGGGTGGGTCGATACACAGAAGGTCACAGGAGGAATCAGAAGGACCAGCAAGACACTTGAGTCTTGGGAGAAGTGAGATCTGATGGTTCTGGAAACTTCTAGAGGAAAAGGTGACGGATGCACAGAGTGAAGAAGACAAGGGTGGGAGGGGAGCCGTCACCCTGTGCTGTGAGGAGGGTCAGGGTCAGTGGACATTTCAGTCTGAGGAGGAGAGACTTGACGGGTGAGTGAGAGGCCTCGGTTACTGGACTTCATCAAACAGGGAGATGGAGGATAAGACATCTCTAGGATCAAGTGCTGAGTCTCTTTTCCATTGGCCAGGGAGCAAGGGCACTTGAGATAGAAATGTTAAGTGGACTGGCCAGCTTCTTTCTGATTGCATGCTCTCTCTTTATTAAAAATTGAGAAAATGCCTTTGCATTTTAAAATAAAGAGATATGCTTTAGTTTGCCGGGGACAATGTGGCAGAACAAAAGCCAACCAATTCAAGACATTCACAAAGTGAATGAAGCCAGGACATGGATGTGAGAAAGAATGAGACTGCTACCCTTGCATTTCAAAGGAATGACAAGGTCAAATTTAAATGACAAAATTTCCACTTATTTCAGTTCTCGTTTGATTGCCCCAAGATTCTATTTGTGGGCATTCAACATTTCTCTTCAGTTAAAAACAAAAGCAAAAACCTGACCCCATGAAGACTGCTATCAAGAGAGTGATTTTGCAACTCAAGAAGGAACCACATTTGCTCTGAAGAACCAGAGGATTGCATTTTGCTGGTGAGCAAAAGGACTGACTTTGTGTCATGGTCTTGATTATGAAAATATGGGCCAGGAGGCTGGTTTAGAGCCGCAAAACAGCCTTCTCAGCAAGCAGCCATCTCGTATTCCCAGGAAAACAAACACAAGTGGTATAAAGACACTCAGAGAAGGTGGCTTTGAGCAGTTTGTCCTAGAAAAACAAACGCAGCTTGGCCTGCAAGAAAGATGGCAGACAGTAAAACACGTTAGCACTGCTGGCGGTGTGTGGCAAGACTAAATATTTACTTTAAAACAATACTGGGACTTCCCTGGTGGCGCAATGGTTAAGAATCCGCCTGCCAACGCAGGGGACACAGGTTCGAGCCCTGGTCCGGGAAGATCCCACATGCCACGGAGCAACTAAGCCCGTGCGCCACAACTACTGAGCCTGCGAGCAACAACTACTGAGCCCACGTGCCACAACTATCGAAGCCCATGCGCCTAGAGCCCGTGCTCTGCAACAAGAGAAGCCACAGCAATGAGAAGCCTGCGCACCACAACGAAGACTAGCCCCTGCTCACCGCAACCAGACAAAGTCTGTGCGCAGCAACCAAGACCCAACGCAGCCAAAAATAAATTAATTAATTTAAAAAAAGAAAAGAAAAAAAAAGAAAACAATACTGGATTCAACAGCTTTTGTGAAGAGCAAAACGTACTTCTGAAATAATAATAATGTGTGAGAGATCTCATTCTTCTCGATCAGAGAGGACAGTTCCAAATGGCCCAATGTAAGGTCCCTTGGGGAAGCATGAGGTCACTGGAGGAATTAATCCAAGTTCATTGATAAGTAAATTACTTACTATTTTTTCATTAGTAAGGGGCAGCCATTGGCAGCTGTAATTCTTAACTAGGGGAGTAGCTCCAAATCACTTGCTGTCAAACCTCACAAGTTTCGAGGAGACCCCTGGCTCACCGGGTCTGGGGTAGGTGCTGGATTCGAATGCACGCATCTGGTTACTGAGATGAAGACTACCCACAGAAGAATACCTCTGCCATCTTAACTAGGCTCTAAGCCTCAAATTTCAGATCTAACATCAATTTCTGATCTTCTTTGGATAGAGTTACCGATGGAGGAAGAAGTCAAGAAAATAAAGGATTATAAAACACACAGCAGGGCTTCCCTGGTGGCGCAGTGGTTGAGAGTCCGCCTGCCGGTGCAGGGGACACGGGTTCGTGCCCCAGTCCGGGAAGATCCCACATGCCACGGAGCGGCTGGGCCCGTGAGCCATGGCCGCTAAGCCTGCGCGTCCGGAGCCTGTGCTCCGCAACAGGAGAGACCACAGCAGTGAGAGGCCCAAGTACCGCAAAAAAAACCCTAAAAAAACAAAAAACAAAAACCACACAATAGCCTAGTATATTAGGGTTTTGAAAAAAACCCCAAAGATTTCCAGAAATGTAAGAGAGCTCGGGAGAATGAATAGTTATGGGTAGTTACCAATTATTGAGCCTATAATCAAGGTCAAGCACTGTGCTAGGTACTTCATGTGCAGACTTTAAAGTGAAATGGAAAGTTTCCTTGAGTAGACTCAGGCTCAAGCCAGGAATTATGTGGGCAAAAGCTGCAGATAAATATTAATTACCTCCCTGGTCCAAAGAAGACAAGTTTTTGAAGTTGCTTTTCATTTTAACAGCATGCTGGGAGTCACGCAGGTGGCTTTCTGACAGGCTCACACACACGGATGTGTGATCTCAAGCTGGGTTGTGCACTCCCAAGCAGGAAGTCCTGCCTCTGAGGCATCTCAGCACCTTCCAAAACCTCAGGCTCTGCCTTCTGAGCCTCAGCCCTCGTCAACTCACGGCTCTGCGGGCTCCTTTATAGACTGATCTGATGGGGTAGGAGATCTCTGCCTCTACTCTGACCCCTCACATCCTATAACCACACCACAGTTAGGAAGCTGACTTAACCACCTAACAGCTGAGAGCCTCCATGATGTGGCCTGACCCTTGCATTTCTTCGATGCCTCCCTCCTTTCCACTTCCTTCCCCCCTCCACCCCAGCCTCTTCCCCACATCCAAGCCATAGATTCTAATTACACTGAGCTATTTATAGCTTCCAAATGCACCGTGGGCTTTTGCACGAATTACTCTTTGGTTAGAATGCTGTCCTTCCCATGCATCCTCCCCTACACAGCATTCATCAGATGTCACCTCCTCCAGGAAGCCTTTCCTGACTTCTTCCAGCCCTACCAAGACTGATCTAGGTGCTCCTCCTATATATTCCCGCAACCTTCACCCTTTATTGCTATCACAACAGCTATCATGTTATAGCAAAACTGTTTTGTCTCTCTGCTGTACCAGACAAAGAACACTAAGATGACAGTGATTGTGCCTGCTTTGCTGTTGAACCCACAGTACCCGGGGCGTAGATGGCACTCAAACAGTTGCCGAATCGAATGCCAGTTGGCAGTGCCTCCTGAACACGTACTTGTGTATATTATAATTACAGAGCGGTCAGCTATTTACTGTGGAGCCTTAGATTTTTTTTTTTTTTCTCTTAAGATGAAAATTTTCAGAAAGAGAAAGGGAAATGAACATTTCTGAGCACTTAATCTATTTCAGGTACTGATCACATGACACCCCTGAGAGCTAAACATTATCATTCCCCAACACACAGATGAGCAAAGGCAGGCTCAGAAGTTAAAGAATTTGCCCAAAGCACAATGCCAGTAAGTGTCAGAGCTGACACTCACACCCACGATGCTAAAGTCTATGTCCTTTTTATTATACCACACTGCTTCTATAATGCTCAGAGGTAGCAATGGCTACCGCCCTGGGTCTGTACTCACATTTGCTGTCAGCTGGGTGGTCAAAGCGGAAACCTTCTCCTGGGAGGCATCCAGCTCCCGCCGTAGTTTGCGAATCTAAAGACGACAGGGCACAGAGTTACTTGCTTTGGGAGTCTACTTATAGGCTGAGCTGGGAGAAATAATTGATAATAGCGAAAGACGAAATCCAACTAGCCAACTCTTCCTTACCTCTGACTGGCATTTTTCTTCTGGCTGTAAAGAAAAACAGAGAAGAAATTAGACCAGTTGAGAAGCTAAGAACAGTATAATCCTGCCTACAGGGAGTACCATATTTGGACACTTACAGCAGTCTTAAAGATTTATTAGTTTCTTTCCTGATGGACTTTTCAGGATAAAGTGGTTCAATTAATATGACCAATCAGAAAGGCCAAATACGAACAGCACATTATTTTAAGAAACGAGAAAGAATTAGGAAATACGCTCCTGTTTTCGTTGTGAGGAGCCCCCTGTCCCCATGTGGAGATGACGACAGGGAGAAGCTGTGATGAGAAGGGGGTACGCTAGGGCAGAGTTGCCAGATTTAGCAAATAAAAAAACAGAACACCCAGTTAAGTTTGAATTTTTTTTAGTTTAAGTATGTCCCATACAATATTGGGGACATACTTATAGTAAAAAATTATACGTTGTTTACCTGAATTTCAAATTTAACTGGGCATTCTGTATGTAATCTGGCGATCCTACCTGGGAGGCAGGGAGGACGGCTCATAGATTAATTGCGCCCCGTTTTATCCCTCCCTCTCATCTCCCTAGGGCACTGAAGCAGCAGGTCAGGAAGGTTCCTGAAGTGAGGGGGCGCTGGGAACCCCTGTCAGCCAGCCTGGTGACTCCCCTGGTTGTAAGGAAGAAGGTGGCCTGTCCCTTCCTGCTGCTCCATCTCTAGTCCCCCAGTTACCTGTGACCCTGGGGAGTAAAGACGAAGCCTGTAGGCCCTCTTACTGGCAAAGCCTTCCATACTGGGCCCTGGGTCTGGGGTGACACAGCAGTCGGCCGGCCAGAGACTACGAGCTACTTACCTCTTCCCATAGGGGGAGCCCACATGGCTTGGGGGGACCTGCAGCAGGGGGAACTATTCCTTCTCTCTTCTGGGGTTCCCAAGGGGGGTCCATAAATGAAGAAACCCCCAACCCTCCCCAACTGCCCCCGCAAACACACCCTTTCTTGGAAATATTGGAAGTGTTCCTGCCCTTCTCTCCACACCCCACCATTTGCACTTCACTGGGGTGGAACAGTGACTTGGGAGCCAGGTAGGTGAGTGAAAATCAGGAAGGACCCTATTTTGTCCTTGAGTCCTCTATGTGTGTCCTAATCCAATTTCACTAGTGATAAACCCATTCTTTTAAAAAGTCAGCATCTGGTTTCTGGCTTCTACTTCTCGATTAGTTCAGGGTGCAGAGGGGTATGACTCATTAGGCCCCGTAGTCCCTGTACCTAACAGCTGGGACAGGTGGGTAGCCCTTTCCTGTCTGACCGCCCTTCACGTCCTGCTCCCATCGCCCTCACTCCTGGTCCTGCCCCAGAAAGCCCTCCCTCCAGGCTGTATTTTAACAACAGTAACTAATTGTTAGGTACACTGGGGCCAAATCAGTTAATCCTTGCAGTAACTCCACAAAGTAGGTTTGTATTCCATCTGAGGCTCAGAGAGGTCAGATATCTTGCCTAAAGTCACACAGCTGGACAATCTCCCCATCTAAGAAACACTTTCAGGAGAAGGTTTGGAGAAGTCCTCAGGGCTTACTCTGCCCTCTCTGATAATATTCAGCCATCTCTCTTTGTCTGTCTGTCTGCCTGTCCATCAATTCATCCCCACCACCATCAGATATTTATTGATTTCTAACTCTGTGTCAAGCACTGTTTTAAGAACCTGGGATACAGCTGTGAACATGACCAAGTCCCTCACATCTTATGTTGCTTACGTTCTGGTAATAATAAGTAGCATTTTATTGAACACTTACTATATGCCAGAGACGGTTCCAAGCACTTGACATTCACTATTCATTTAATCCTCATAACAACCCTTTCAGAAGGTAGTGATATAATTTGCTCATGGCTACAGCTGACAAGTGATAGAACTGGGATTGGATCCAAGGTAGTCTGGCTCCAGAGCCTATGATCTTAACCAGCACTTTCTCCTGCTCTGACTATAGCGACATTCTCCTGGAGGACTTCCAGAAATAAGGCCCTGGCTTCTGAGTCTGATCCAAAGGAGAAAAGTTAATGGTGATAACGTCATAGCTATCTAACATTTGGGAGGCGAATGGAGGTCTGTTAGCAGGCTGAACCATCCACGGAAGACCAGCCCTACCTCTAAACACTTCTATCAACAGCCTTCCTTGGGCGGCTGCCACTGTCTGTCTCGGTGCCCACCTGTCTCTGGGGTTGGAATCCTGTTCTCAACAGCAGCCTGGAGAAACCATGCGTTTTGTATCTTGCCCCAGCTGCTGCTGCTCTTCTGTACATCTGGGAACTCCGAGAGAAGCTCCGGGCCTCTCTCCACTAGGCAGTTCCCCTGGGAACTCAACTGTTGCTCCCTACCAACCAAGAAAGCAAATCTCATGCCAGATGTGGCCTCTTCAGTGTTTTTCTACTCCAAGGGCCGGCCACGACCTCTTCATGGCATTTATTTAGCAACAGGCTGTCTTTTCTTTCCTTTGTAATTAAAATTACAGGCAAATTGCAGCCAGAATGAACATTATTGAATATCTAAGAATTACAGGGATTTCAGGGGGGAGAAAGCCTACTACCATCCAATAAGAGCCTTTAAAACACTCTGGTCTTAAGCAGACTCTTTGGTCTGGGTTGGTGGCAACTTAAGAGACTCCAAGGATCTCTTTTTAGACAACAAATACGAACTTATTTACCTTTTCATTTACAAAGGCGCCTGAGCATTTGTTTCTGAATTTCATCATCACCAAGGAGCTAATAATAGATAAGGGACCACACACCACTGCTTGGTGGTAGCAGAGTCTAGCCAGACTTGCAGTTTTCCTTGGAATTAGCATACCACTCCATCATGAAAATATTCAAAGGTTAGAGTATTTTGTAAAAAGTCTGCAAAAGCAACTTACATTCTCAGAGAAGGCACATATAAAGAACAGTACATGGGAACCTTTGACTCACTGACTAGTGGAATGTCAGAGGTTGTAGGGACCTCGGAGACCAACTGGCCTAGCTCCCTGAGGCCAAGGGCAAAACGGAGACCCCCAGAATAAGGAGGTAATTTGTCCAAAGTCAAACAGTAAGGGAAAAACTATGAATAGGCCTCGGGTCTCCTGCTATCCAGATAAACATGGAATTAAAAATTATTATTATCAGGTCTTTGGTAATTTGTGAATTTGTTTCAACTCAGAAAGGACAATTTCAAATTTCATGAAAACACGAACTTCAGGTCCACACACCTAGAACAAGAGCTACTGAAAGAGAGGCCTGTAGCTGTAAGAACTCCCGGTGGTTGGCGTGAAGGGGAAGCAGCCAGGAACTGCAAGTGATGGCTTCCTGCATCTGAGTTCTCACAGGTGGAGGAGCTCGTGCTCTTTCCCTCCCAGGCTGGCTGACGCAGGCCAGCCCCCATTTTTCACTTTTCTGAATGCAAAGTGTGTTGACAGGAAACCCTGGGAACTCCCTGGGAAAACATGGGGTTTGGGCACTGCAATGTCTGGTATGGCTGCCCTGCACCAACCCTGTGAAACTAGAGTTCCACACGCCCCCCAGGCCCCCCCGCCCCAACCCTCTGTGCCTCTGGCTTCCTCTTTCGGCAGCAGGCTCCTCTCTCCACCTAAACCGCGCCCTCAGGGCTCAGCCCAGAGCCTGGCATATATCAATACTTGGTGCCAGTAAATACTGTGGAAGAAGTGAATCTAGGCGGAAAAGTACCACCTCTGGCCTGGTACCCATGTCACAGAGTTTCATTCTAGACGAAAGGACTCAGTAGGTGCAACAGCTGATCGTTAGAAGGCCATCCCTATGCTTTCTTGGATAACGGCTTAAATAACCCCTTCCCAAGGTTACCATATATAAAGTCTTGAAAATGAAAGCCAGGACTTTGATAAAACTTCAGACAAGATGACTAGCAGAGGAAAGAGGTACTGTGGAATTGGAGGGGCAAGGTGGGTAGGAGCAGAAGAGAACGTTTCTAGGTCCTTCAAATCAGACCGCATCGGCAACCACTGAAGTCTGTTTGCTCGCTATAGGCCTAAGAAAGACAGTCAGGCCCTGGGCTCTCTGACTTAATTCTGGGATGGTCTTTAACTTACAGGGGGCTATCTACAGTCTGTCCCACTACAGAGCCGAGACACCTGGCATTACCAAAAACTGAATTATTAAAACATCTGTCCTCCATGGAATTAAGGGCTAAAGAATTCCCAATTCCTAATTAATCAAATGTTTTTTTTTCTACAGGAATTCCCGAGTTAAAGTTTTTAAGATAGTTATGCACAGAGCTATAAAAAGTAAGCATACTGAATAAATCCAGTACTATATTTGATTGTTTGGCTTTTGTTCAGTAGACCTCTCACGGATGACAGCTGTCATTTACGAGAGCTTCCTCTGTGTTGCATACAGTCTAGTCATTGCTTTACGTGCATTTTCTTATTTGACGCAAACCTATTTTTTGAACACCTACTATATGCTAGGCCCGGTTCTAGGCACTAGGAATAAGACCAGAAAAAAGTCCTTGTCCTCAAGGAATTTATATTGCAGTGAACAGTAATATTCATAACTTTAATTCTCATTACAATGCCACAAGGTAGGGGCTGCTGTCCTTTCTACTTTACAGACAAAGAAACTGAGGCAGACACAAAGTTGAAAAAGGCATCTCACCCATTCTAACTCGTTACCACTCGAAGCACAATGCCACTGTAACAAAAGTCAGCTCCTGATTTATTGGTTGGTACATCAGTAACTGTTTGTGAATTTCAACCCTTGTTCCCTAATTAATTGATTCCCTTATAATGGAAATGCTCTCTCTAGGAGACATGCTATTTTATTTTTGACACACATAGCCACACAGCATTGATTTATACTCACTGTAGAATAAATTGATGACGTGCTGGAAACCAAGGAGAGTGAGGATCCATGAACTGTTTAAAAAAAAGAAAAGAAAGAAAAGGTGAATTGCACAGTTGGCTACTATGGAGCCGAAAAGGGGAAGGGAAGGAGAAACTCAGCATTAGAGGACATTACCAGGCTTGGAGCGACTTAACCTCTTCTTGACCCAACCTTCCCTGGTTTGGTGACAGGTCAGTGTCAAGTAAGGAATAATTTTCTATGGGAGTCATTTCTCTATTACCACATTCTTTTTTCTTACGCCATTCTATATACTACCCCGGCTCCAACTATCAAAATAACACATAATTACTAAGTTATATGTTTCAAGTACAGAGAAATGTTAAGAAGCATTTTCACTGCCATAACCTGTGTGACTCGTAATTCTATTACCCAGAGGCAACTTTTACCTGCTCTGTTCCAGCATATTTTATTCCTTTCTTTTTTTCTGATGTATTCCCTTAGGGTTAAGATTGGGTTGCATATATATTTTATATCCTGCTAGCACCTGCCATTTGTATAAGCAAAAAGATGAGCTGATTATTTTGAGCCTAGGAGGCTGGCTGTTGGCCATGGTAAATTCATTCTAGATGACCATGTGCTAGAACATTGTTTAGAAAACATATCCACAGAAACATAGATTCTCCATTTGATTTCTATCATATCTACAAAGTGTTCTCTTTTCTGTTTGTGACTGGTATTTTGGGTACCATCCTTGTACCCTCCTCACCCCCTCCTGCCCCCAGCCAATGGAGACATTTTATTTTCTGTTTTCATGTAATTTAAACCATGGTCTTTTCCAGGACTAGGTATTCTGCCTGACTTCTCTTCTTGGAAACCAGATTCTTTAATGACATTTTCTTAGTAATCTCCCAACAACTTGTTTGAAAGACAGAAATATGCCTGTTGAGACATCACGGACCTTCTGATGGGGCACAGCTTCCCTGACCAGGAGTGGAATGCCTCTACCCCACGCTGCGCTATCACCTGCGGTCTGAGAGTGGGAGGCTGGGGAGTACTTTCCACGTGTACTATACGGCTTTCACCTACCGCCCAAGGAGTGAACTCAACTTGGATCGGCGGTTGGCAGAAGCTACCTGCCCACAGATATCCCAGCAACGGCTCAGCCGACCACTCTGGTGCCTCCACACCGTCTCCCCAACAAAGCTTCCAACCTCCCATCCTTCATTTAGGTGCTCCTATCGCACTCTGAATCCTGCACGGGTCTCTCAAGCATGGCCTGCGTGGTACTTGGCCGTCTCAGAGTCTCTGCCCATTCAGTTCCTTTGGTTTAGGAAGTTTCCCACTCCTACCCATCCAAATCACCTGGATCAGCTCAAACAGCATCTTCTCCTGGAGCCCCATCTCATTTCCCGACAGCCACCGGGATGGGCTTCCTCCCTCCTCTAACCCACACAGCTCTCGGCTTGCACTTCTGGTCCTCTTCTCTCTTAGACGGTGCCAATTGCTCTGAGGCTATCCCTGCACCGTCACTCAGATCCACCCTCTTCAGCAATGCCCGAGGTTCTAGATCTTTTCCTCCTTTCTTTCTCCATCCATGACTCATCTGGCCCATGCCCCTAAAAAATCAGTTGAAGGTGTTAACGGCCAATAATGGCTTTCAGTGTTAATATGCCCACACGTTAACAGAGGCCTCTCATGCCCCAACCTAGTGGCCTAACGGTCCAAAGGGGTAAGTTACTTTAGCCCCACGACACAGATACTAGGGGGGAAATTACGCTGGAGGCCAAGTTGAGGGAAGAGAGGTGACTAGCGTGGAGCCATCCTTCAATCACACCGCCCTGCCAGACGCCCGCTCCGGAGGCCTGCACAGGGCTGCTGCGTGGGCTCGGGCTGCTGAAAAATGGAGGTTTGTCTCTTATATTTCTCTACCTCATACACACGGATTCACTCATACTGCCTTCAGCAATACTGCAAGACAGGCTTGGGGCCGCAGGCAGAGAGGAGCGCATCCGGCCGGCTTCGGGTGGAGGTAATTATTTTTCTCCGTAATTCATTCCTCTCACTTGTAAATAGCAACAGCAAGGCTGTGGTCCAAAGAAAGAGTCCTTGCTTTCCAGATCAACCCAAAGCTAAATATGGCTGCCTGAACCACTGCAGCTGGCCTTCCTTCAAGAAAACTGAGCCAAGGCAGAGCCCGGGTCACGTGGCTGGGATGCTTTTGGACAACAGAATGCTTGTGAGACTTACAAAGCCAGAGCAGCAGAAGCATGCTCCGGAGCTTCCTCCCTATACCTGTACCTCCAAAGGTTTGAAGATACAAGGAACCACAGAGAATATCTAGGCCTTCTCTGCCGCTGACTAATCTGAAACCCGGAGAGGTGAAACAACCTGCCTAAGGTGCTATAGCATTCAGGAACAGAATCTGCAGACCAGAAATCTGGAGATGGCTTTGCCCTTGAGTGCCCTTGTTTACTGGTATCTGAGGGTTTTTTGGTTTTGGTAAAGCTTTTTGGTATATTTAGAATGGTTTCCTAAACCCCTCATTCAATCTACATAGGCACAATCTGGGACCAAACAAGCAAAAAGTGCATGTTTGAGAAGAACTAGAAGGCGCAGGTAGGGGTGAAATCACAGGATGGAATGAGACAACTGGGCATATTCCAGCCAATAAAGCAAACAGATGCCTCTGTTGTCACACTTGGGCACCATATATATATATATCTACGAATATAGATATAGACATAGATATATGTATATATTCAGCTTCATACTAATCGAGCACTTCCTCACACTACCGTTTGAAGTAATCCTCATCATCACAGAGAATTTGTAGGTAATATTCCCAGACAGGGCAGGAATTTCTATCCCTAATGAACACAGGAGTAAATTTAGGTCCAGAGAGGCCTAAGCACACACAGCTGGTCAGTAGCAGAGAGAGAAAGTGAGTCTGGGTATTGCACTCTAGTCCTCGCTCTGCCACTGGGGGCTGTGGAAGGAAGGAGTCGGTGAGAATGAGATGCAGTTCTAATGGCTAATGGGCTGCCCTCTCAACCAGCGGAGGAAGCATAACTGAAAACAGCGACCACACTGATGAAGGTGCAGGGTTTGCTTCAGACACGTAAGAAAGCCCAGCTGTGGCCAAGGAAGAGATAAGTGTAAGGCAGGATTGAGTAGAAACACAGAGGGCTGAGAATCAGGAGTTCAGGACATAGTTCTGGCTGCAAAAAGTCCCCAAGTCACTTCCTCTGTTCAACTTTGCCATAAACAAGATGGGGTTGAAATGGCCCATGGGGAGAAGGATAAAACAAAACATGACAACTGTAACAATAGTTACCATTGACTGAGTACTTACTATAAACCCCATTCAAAGTCATTCTGCTAAATGCCTTCCAGGATTTATCTCACCTAATCCTCTGAAGTAGGTACAGTTGTACTTATTTTCCACGTTCTAGTGAACAGGAAATAGGCTGAACAGGGTCAAGTCCCTTACTCAAAGCCACCTTGCTAACAGTGGAGGTGCCGGGACTTGAATCCAAGTGTAACTCAGGGGCTAGAAATGCAGGAGAGCTGCAACACAAGATTTATTTACTAATAAGCTGCTCCGTTTCTGTGGGTTCCATATGAACTGATTTAGACTGCACCAGTTCTTAGGGATGACTGGTAAAGTCCCTGGATTTTTTTTTCTCCAAAAACATTCATTTGAAAAGTGCCTCAAGCATCTCCCTAAAGTGCACTATTAAAGTTGACTTGAAGATTGCATAATGCATCTGACGGAAATTAATTTACCTGAAATAACCTTGAAAGGCTGCACCTGGGCCGTGCCTGTACCTCATCTACATATTTATGACTTCCATTTCCTTCAAAATGGAAAGTGCTAATTAAATCCCGCAAAAACCTCACTCAAGTACTTGTGCTAATTCTTCCTAAACTTTCTTTCTGCTTTCTGGCATATGATATATCTAACTGCCTCTTATCAATATAAGGAGGTTCTATTTGGTCCAAACATGAGATGTGAATTTTTTCCCAACTGTTTCTGCAGTACCAGGAGTTTATACATTCAAGAGGGGGGGAAAAAAAAAAGTCGTCCCCGAATGGAATTAAAAACACCTAATTGCACAAGCCCTATTTTGTTTTTGTAATGTAATAGCCTTGGAAGAAATAAAATCAATCTGATGCCAAATTTCCCAAAAGATGAAGATGTTACATGTTTCTCAGTGTATCGACAGCAGTCTCTACCTCTTCTCCCCAAATTTGATTTTACCGCTGCGCTTCAGTTCCACATCACCATGAATCATCAGGGTTTACAAAAGTCTAGGCGCTGCTTGTGGGCAAGCCCTTTATATCAGTGTCACTTTGACATCCCGGATATGCCACAGTTGTGCTGCCTGACGGCTTGATTCCAGATGGAATAAAAAAACCCATCTGACGATGATACTGTAATGGTCCTGGACCTTTATGAGGTCAAGTGTGCTTGTCTGGACAAGTTGCAGCACTGAACACGGTTCACTCAGGTACACACGGGACACACCAGATGAATAGGGCACAGGGCACTCTCCATTCACGAGTCATTCTCAGGAGGGCTGGGAAATGCTCTGTGGCCATGCTTGGTTCGCCCACTGATCAGAAAAATGTTAAAGACAAACTGCCTACTCCTTCACCTTACGGTCAACGTGCCCTCCACGATTACTACTGATTTCTAGCTCTTAAATCCAGCAAAACGCTCTCAGTAACTCAGGCTCTGCCCCTCCTTAATCCTCTATCCCAGTGGGTTCCCACGAGTGTCTGCTCACTGGACGCAAATGATACATAAATCAGAATGGAGAGAATTAAGGAAGATTAACCAGGGGGCAACTGCTCTGTAACTAAACTCTTTACAACTTTTGTTAAAAAGAACACCGGGCAGGGCAGAAGCTGACGTCTTGCATCTCTCTCCCTCTTGACTTGTTTAGGGGTTTCCTCGACAGTCACAAGTTTATTTGTTCTTTCCTACCAGGAGGACACTGGGCATATTTCCCCATTCTCACAGGGACCTGGGAGCAGAGGGAAGTGCCTGTGACTCCCCTCCCCACACCCATTCTGTTCTGTCACTGGCAGAAAAGGCACAACTAGGGCCATGGCCCTCAGCCTCGGCTCCATTTGCTCCAAGAGTCCCCCCTCCTCTGGCTGGGGACTTCCAGCTGCCAGGACATCAATGCTGAAGCTCAGTTTTCCGGCTGTAACAGGTACTGACATTACTGGATTAACATTTATATATATTATCTCATTTAATTCTCATAATTCCATGAGCCTGGAACTCCTGCTTCATCAGTGAAAATACAAAGGCACAGAGAGGTCGTGAAGTTAACTTGCCCAAGATCATACACCTAAGAAGTAGTGGAGCTGGAATTCAAACCCTGGTATTATTATCCCATATTCTTAACCATTCATCACTGGTACTGAGATCATCCCCATCTGTGGGAAGCTTTTGGGGGTGGGGGTGATGTGCCTTCCCACCATTTTGACTGCTTGCTCCCCTAACTCACACTTTGACTGGAGTAGGAAAGAGAAATGAGCTGAGTTAGGAAGATGGCTGATGAAGATGCCCACTGTAGTTTTCTCCCCAAATTCTGATTCAAATGAACAAAGCATAAAAATCCAAACACCAAATACTCCCAGTTAGCAAGCAAAGAAGGAAAAGGGCAAATCTGAAAGCAACAAAGTTTAAAAAACTGGTGCTTGAGAAAAGAACTAGAAAATTCTGGAGCGAAGGGGAGAGGCATTGCTGCCGACAGCCCCCCAAAGCCATACGGGTGTGTTGGCACAGGGAAACGAACTCTCAAGTAACTGGCGTTGCCAAGATGGTGTGCCAGCGGCTGAGTCTCACAGTGGAGGTGCATGCCAAGAAGCTAGGGCCCAAGTCCAAGGGAGAGAAGCCTGGAGCGGAACTCGGTCAACTCCAGGGTTCACCCGTGTTTTGTCTTCCCTACAATCCTCTTTAGGTTTGGTTTTGTTTTGTTTTTTTTGCGGTACGCGGGCCTCTCACTGTCGTGGCCTCTCCTGTTGCAGAGCACAGGCTCCGGAAGCGCAGGCTCAGCGGCCATGGCTCACGGGCCCAGCCGCTCCGCGGCATGTGGGATCCTCCCGGACCGGGGCACGAACCCGTGTCTCCTGCATCGGCAGGCGGACTCTCAACCACTGCGCCACCAGGGAAGCCCTTCCCTACAGTCCTGCGACGTTAATTAAGAGTCAGACCCTACTATTCAGAGTTCCCCAGCCCCGCGCCCCAGAGTAAGTGGCGAGTTGGAAACTTGTACAGGTGGACCCTTAGGTCAGTGAAGTGAACTTGGTATAGAGGACTGTTAACCGCTCTGCACGACGTGAGACAGGGTCAACCTCCTTGCTTCTTACCTTCTTCAAACCCATCCCGGAATGAGCCCGAGCGGCTCATGGTTCTGCTCTTCTCGTCCAGGGACATGGAGCTGTTCCGGAAGCGGCTGTCCGTGTACGGGTCATACTGCCCGTCGGCATTGGAGAGGCTGTGGGTCCTCAGCATGGTCGGGTTGGACAAGCTCATCTGGGTGACAGTGGTGGGACTCGCTGGAAGGAAAGGAGTCAGTCAAAGGGTTGGAGATTCATGTCCCGGTTCAAATCCTGAAGGGGGACGGAGAGGAGGCTGCTTACGATCAGCCATCCCCGTCCCTGTCAACTTCTCTCCCTTGTCTGTTTTCTCAAAGGTGGTCACACCAGCACCTGAGTAACACACTTACAGCTAAAAATAAGGGAGGAAAGGTGGGTCAGTTCCAAAGCGAGGCTCTGGGCCTCAGCTTTCCAACTTGGCACATTCAGACAAGCTAGTGTCACCTTCCAGGCATGAGCTAATTACTTTCTGGGCTCATCTGGAACAATTCTCCCTAAAGCCAAAAGCCCAAAATAGTCCAGCCGGGCTTTTGATCAGATGGGAGGCATTTGTGCATGACAAGAAACCCTCGCCTCAAAGAGTTACAGCCAGGAAAGAACAATATGAACACAGGTCTCACTGTCTCAGACGGGGAAGATTTCATAATGGTGCCTGCAGAGCTTCAGTGCAAAGGGGGTGCATTTACCTTATCCGAAACTGGCTTTCTTATTAAAATCCTGTCCATTTCAGTAACGTAAGATAGTTCAGAAGTATGCATTCGGTTCATTAACAATGAAGAGTTAACCCTTACTTGATTAGAAGTCCTTAAAGACTGAGTTTATTATTTACAATAATCAGAGAAGGCTGCCTCTCTAAAGAACGAGATGAGACCGGAAAAAATATTTCCCTCTCTTTCCGTCTTGGAAGGCTCAGCTCTCATCCTGCCACCTTCGTGTAACCGTTCCCAGTCACTTCAGCCAGGACTGTTCTTTCCTTTTTCTAACTGTGTATACTTGCTATCGGATCACATGCAGTTTTTACACGGATTCATATAAAGCTTTGGACTGTTCTCTTTTACCTATCTATGAGTCTGTGTGGGTGTCTGTCTCTCTAAAAGAAGCATCCGTTGACACGTCAGCAGGGACTGTGTTACAAATTCTTTTCCTTTCCTCACTGTGCCAGTCAAAGCATGATGTCACCGGTAGGCATTTCCAAGAGTATCTGCTCGGTCAAAACCTGATCTTTATTTCCGGTTTAATAAAGCAATGAGGATGACCAAACATGGGATGCGCTATAAAACCTACATCTTCAGAGGTCTTAGAATACATTCTTCTCATTCCATGGATGGTTTGCTCTTTGCTATAACCCCACCTATATCAACCATGTAGAGAAAATTACTGATAGAGAACCAAAACACATTTCTCTTTTCGTTTGCTATCAACTGCCTATAATCAAATTACTCTGCTGAGGGCTGATCAGATATGGAGAGTGCAGTGACCACATGGCTCTTTCAAAATGCAAGATAACCTCTGCCCTGAGGCACTGATCAACACAGTTAGCGCCAAGTAGCTACTCACCAAGCTGAGAAAAGTTGAATCTTGTTCCGGAGGGAGAAGTTACACTGGAGCCAGAGGAGAAAGGAGAGTTGGCGGCCGTGTCCTGCAGGCCTCCTGCAGAGTGGGACCGTAACCATTCTTTTGCGTCTTCTTGTGTGCGAAGCTGGGAGGTGGGGGTGTACCTGGACAGACAGAAATCAGGCTGGGATTAACTACGAACAGCGTTTATGAAAATGAGCTCTCTGGAGCTGATGATAAACATATAAAAAGAAAATATACATCCAAAGATGACGTTTGAAAAATCAGATCGCTACACATCCCGAAACTCACAAAGTTTCTCAAAACCTTTTTTGCCACTTGGCTGTCTTTGGGGGAAAACTGCAATTCCTTTCGGTTTTGAGGGAACTACATAAAGGGAACAAGATGGGTAAACGCTCAGAAGAGCCGTCCCTGGGCGTATCTGTAACATGTTGATTCATGACGGTGTCATTTCAAAGCCTCCACCTTGACAGGACTGAAGCAACAAAATAAGCTGCTGTCAGAGCTCTGAGGAAGTTTTAATTAGATAGCTCATGGCATCTGCATTCTGGAGGGCAAGTAAGTGGCCATGAATCACAGAGTATCAGAAACCAGACACGTAAAGGAAGGTATGAGGAGACCCGATGCTGACAGCAGTTACTAGAATCTGGCAGAAACCAGTCTTCACAAAAGGAACCCCAAATCATTGGGTCTCACACGGGGGAGGGTCTTCAGAAGTCACGTGGTCCACCTCACCGTTAATTCTGAAACGTATTTGGTAATGATTTATTGAACGTCCCCAACGTGCCAGGTGCCTTCACAGACGTTATCTTACTGAAGCCTCGGATGCTCCCAGCAACACAGATGCTATTATTCCTGTTTTACATTCAGGGAAGGTGACGGCCTGCCTTGAATCACGTGCCGAGATTTCAATCCATATTTGTCTGATTCCCAAATCCATTACGGATGCTGCCTGTGGGCTCTTCTCATTATGCCCACAGGCAGCATCTCGAATGTCTAAAGTGCCCCAGTGGCCAGAGTACTTTGGACTTATAAACAGATTACCGTGGGGTTACTACTGATTACGTAAATAGAGGGGTCCTCTTGACTTAGGACAAGGTGTTGTCAGTGTGTTGGTATTGGATGTGTGTGTGTACGGAGTGGGTGAGCTAGAAAGGGAGTCACAGTGAGAGGGAACATAAACACGATTCTTCCTTAATGTTTTTACTATAGTTGGACTTTCTAGGTCCCATCAATTGCCTGAGGATACCCTGTCACTTACCTCTATTCTGAATTTTTTTAAAAACTGATTTTAACAGCCAGAGCTACATAATTTTCACAGAATAGATCTGCTCCAGAAATATACACATTAGCATTACAAAATGGTGATATTCGAAGATGTGAGCTTCCTCTGGGAGCGGTGCTGGGGCATCAAGGTCAAACTCACGTGAAGAGTGGATATGATTTAAGCTTTAGCCTGAGTGCCGACAAGCATGACGAAAACTGTTAAGTACTAAAGGTCTTGCCAACTGCCCCCTCGAAGGCCACCGTGCTGAACTTCCTCCGTCCGGAGGTCAGTTGGAGGCTTTTTCAATACTTTTATTCTTAGATTTTTAGATTTGGCTTTACTCGGAACTCCTGTTGAAAGGAAGCATTGATACCTACCTCCCATTACTGGTCAAAATGCTCTCAGCCTTAAGAACCGCTGGTTATTAACTACAGACATACATGACAGCAACGAAACATTTCATTCCAAGTTCCATGTTTTGCGAAAGCACTTACTGCTTGGTGCGGGGTGAAGCCGATGCTACAAAGAACGAGGTGTTTAGAGAGCGGGAGAAACGACAGCTGTAACCGTGTGACATTAAGATCACGGGGCAGGCGTTAGGACTGAAGTTCTTCTGGGTGGCAAAGTGAGGTGGATGGCGTGAGCAGTGGTGACTTATAGCATCTTGTTTCACCAGGACCAGCGCCAAAAACGAGCCATCACTTACGGTGAATGAAAGGACATTCGCTCTTGGAAAGAAAGTCCTTACTTTCTTTACTTCAAAAAAATGAACACACCTATGTCTTGCTGGGCATTGAAAATTGACCCGATTTTCGATTAGAATATTCAGACAAGTGCAAAGCACCTGTCCTTAGCAACTTTCTATGGGCCAGAAAGTTAAAACTCTTCAAATTGGCGGGGGGGCGGGGGGGATATTTCTCTCCTTTGCTCTGTGTCCCAGCTGACAAATCAACATGCTACAAGTCATATCCTTTCTCTTGGAAGACAGCCCGTGAATGGAATGGTCATGGCAAAGTGATCAGCGATTAAACCCACTGGCCCCGGAAGAAGCGGTAACCGCTCTCCGGGCTTGCTCAGGGATGGCTGTCATGAGATGGTTTGACCACAGTAAGCCTGAAAGAGCACAGCCTCTGCTCAAGCAAAGAAGCCGACACATGGAGAGATGAGAACGAGAGGGTTGCGAGGGGAGCCATCATCCAAAGGGTCCTGCTGCCAAAGCGGGGACCCCCAGCCCAGCCCGAGCCCCACCAGCCATGAGAGAGCCACACAGCCAAGCCCCAGAGCCACACCAGATGGCATGGATGCAAGGAGAAAACACAGATACCTGAGTCCTTTTTTAGGCAAAGTGTTCCTATCAAGGTGCGGGTCACTGTAGGAAAGTTAAAACAAACATAAGAACCTCAGAGAAGCACAGGGAAAGCAGGCCATGTGAGGGGGAAAGGCTAAGGACGAGCCAAGAGATCTGGAGGAAGAGACTCACTTCACCAGGGAGGGGTCCTCTGCATGCAACACATCCACAGCCACGGGAACAAAGGAAACCCAGGCCTGCGCTCACACCCAGGCATCCTCCACCCCCGTCCCCAGGAGGCCTGATCCACTCGGCCCCAACTGCTCCACCTTTTCCACGGGTTCAAAGCCAAACTCAGGACCTGCCCCCCATCTGGAAGCAGAGCCCATGCCTTCCGCGGCAGAGAGAGACGCCGGGCTCCCCGCACCCCTAAGCACTCTGGCCCTCCACCAAATGCCACTGGCGATGACTTCAAGTGAGAGAAGGGGCTTGCTGGAGAGTTTCAAGAGGCCAGCAGTCTGCATATTTTGAATTCATCTGTAACAAGTGAATTCCAGGTCCCTCTCAGTTTTCGAGGCTCTCATAGGGCGTAGCTAGGAGCTGAGCCCTGGGTAGAGTCGGGGCATGTTACGACCTGCTGGCTGATAAAGTCACAACATTCGGATTTCCAAAGAGCTAGGTTTAAAGGCTTGGTCTATGAGTCTGACAAAGGCAAAGTTCTCATTGTTAATGGGGTGAAGAGGGTTTTCATTAATTTTTTCCCCCCTAGCACGAAACAACATCTGCTCGTTACGTTTGGCCAAGCCATGGCTTCCCCACAAACTCAAGGTCAAGGTCCATGTCTGAGGCCCACCCTCAGGGCATCTGGGGGCCAAAAACACTCCGCATATTCTTCTTACAGAAAACGGGCACACAGAACACCACAGCCTGCGAGACACAGAGCCAATCCGCAGCAGAGGCCTTTGAGAGGGCAAAGAGCCAGCTGCGTGGGGAGCAGGGGTGTGGGAGACAAAGGTGAGGGCCGCAGAGCCGCGTGGTGGGCAGCAGGTCACTTCTGGGCTCGGAGGGGGAGGGGAGAGACGAGAAAGGGCAGGAAGCTGGGAAGCAGGAGCATGCCACGGGGAGGCTGAGATGCCAGTGAGAGCTTCTGCCGCCCCTCGCCAGGTGGCAGGCTTGAGGTTCCTTCCCAAGCTGGGAGAGGAGGGGCCAGCCCCGCTCCACCTCTTTCTGAGTTTTGTGGGCAGCGGAACAGACCCTCACAGGCATGTCTGGGGGGTCACAGAGCACACCGGGGCCACGAACACAAGCGGAAGCCGCAGGCCAACAGCCTCATACAAGACATCTGGCTTGACACGGGGGGGGGGGGGGCAGAGGAAGCTAAAGGCTCGGTGGCGTCCCCGGCCTACAACGTCATTACCTGTCCTGTTTCCTGGGCAGAGTACTTCTGCAGAACTTAGGGCTAGCGGCAGGGGAAGAGAGAGGGCTAGAAGGCCAGGCAGGTGGAAAACAAGAGAAGGTGCATTAGATTGGAAGGAGGGGGTGGAGTTATTATACACAACGACTAGGACATTTTTCTTATTTCCAGTGCTGATAATGGCTTTCTTCCCCATGTGGAGAAAATGGACATGTATCACTAGTGCGGTGAGATTCAGAGCTTTGAGGGCAATTCTGGTTTCTTGATTTCCTATCGCTCTGGCCTGCGGCCCTTCAGTAGGAGGGCGTCTGCCCCGAGGACCAGCGTGTGGACTGGGCTGCTTAAGGAACATCCCACCACACGCTCCGCGGCTGCAGCCGCCCCCTGCTTGGGCGACACAATTACAAGGGGCAGGGAAAGAGGCAGTGATGAACAAACAATAAAAAGGAAGGACTTCGAAAGCGGAATGCGCTTTCAAAAGGCAGCATGAAATCTGCCCCCAAGAGACTTCCAGCAGCTCCGTGCACTGAGAAAAACCACAGTGAAAGACAACAGGAAGCAGAGCCAGGCTTAATCCATCCCCAACGGGCTTCCCTCTGGAGAGACGGCAGTGATCAGGAAGAGAGAAATCTCCCAGCAAAGGTGAGCTAACACTTGGGCTTTCTGGCATAATCTTTGGACTTCCGGAAGGGCGTCTTTCGGGGAGATAAAGGCAGCCAAACACACAGCACCAACCTTTCCGACAGTGTGGTCTTCACACTGTTGGTTCTGACAAAGGGGGTCAGGGCATCATCCTTAGAGGCGGCAATGAGGCCGGTGGAGGAGTTGTGACTCAGCGCCCCTCCGCTGCCCAGGGAGATGTCAATGGACTCGCAACTGGTGTGGAGGCTGCTGACCGACTGGAAGCCCAGGCCGTCCTTGCTAACGGCCGAGGAGCTGCTGGCGTTGGTGCCCCACGTGAGGCTGTTGGAGGGGCCCGAGTGGGCGGAGCTGGGGCTGGAGGCCAGCGGGGACTGGGTGCTGTCTGCGTTCTTACTGTAGAGAGGGCTGCTGCTGCCGCTGCTCAGGACGCCGCTGCCCGAGGGGGACTCTAAGTTACCTTGCTGGCTCAGGGTGGCATGAGGGTTGGAGATGACCACCGAGTTTTTCATGTTTTCGGCTGTGGCGATGGGCACTTGCTTGGTAGGCTTCCCACCAAAGAGTCTGCGAAGAGACAAAGGTTTACACGGGTTGAACACCCAAAGCCCAGGGACGCCGGCCGTCAGAGGAGGGCGGGGCACAGGAGCTAGTGAGAGCCCCTGGGGAGGGAGGCGCAGTCCTTTCTACAGCTCGAGGCGCTCCCCTGGGAAAGGCTGCCACACAGCGGGCCAGGGCACTGGTGGAGCAAAGGCTCCACCTTCAAGTTCTAGGCTGCTGCTGAGACCCTGGATCTACCTGAGCCAAAGGGAGACGGGGAGTAATTTTCTACAGGCCTATCCCTCGCTGGTCCAACATCTTGCTTTCCTTTCTTTCCATAAATAGAGTAACTAGAAAACTGCCCTTGCCCAGGAAACATCTCAAGGGAAAAGACCTGTCTTGATCACCTTTGTATCCATGACCCCAGGCACAAAGCAGGCACTCCGCTTATGACAGTTCAGCTCCAAAGGAGTTGGTTTCTTTGATCTCTAAGCAAACATGTAGAATCAAGAACAGGAGGCTAGATCTGGAGGCAGGCTGGGCAATGTATCCTCTCAGATGTATTCTTACATGAAAGCCCAGCCTGAAAGATGTGTCTTTTAGGGCCAGAGAGCTAATACTGTCCAGTGATACACACAAACCTTGTGGGGTTCACAAGACGTTCGACCAGACACGCTGGGTGTGAACTGTGTCTCTGTGATAGACACACAGAAATGCCATTGCATGTCATCTCCCCCACTGCTCATGACCACAAATGTGCTGTCGGAACACAGGGAATGGCACAGACACTTCCCTCTTCCGTTGGCAGAGGGCTTTCTGGTAGGATGGAAAAACTGTCTTAAAGTCGAAGGATAGTACATACTCTGGAAATGTAATGGCTTTATTCTATCCACTAAAACTGTCATGGAACAGGTATCTCCGAAAAGAGACGATACTACTACATACTATGATAGGCAGGTTGCCTTTCACCCAGCTAGTCAAAGTGGTGTGAGTTTGACCTCCGACCTCTCCAAACAGTTGTTACAAATCCCAATTGTTGTAAAAATAAATAAACACATAATCAACCCTCAGTAGAATGTCTGGCGACAGAAGAGGAACACTTTTTGCCTGGTGACAGGGAAAGAACTATCCTGTTGCAGAACCTTGGCTTTAGAGTGCTTACATACCTCCAGTGTCAGGGACCTCACTACTTTATACTCCAAAGGCTAACTGGCTCTGTTGCCAAGCACTTCCAATTGTTACAAAACCAAAATCTAACCCACCTTCTTCCAACTTTTATGCCTTGCTCCTAATCCTGCTATGTGTAACTACACAGAAAAAGCCCAATCTTTTGTCTGTTGGTCCTTCAAACCATTTGAAGAGAGCTATCACACTTCACCTAAGATTCCTCTTCTTCATACTAATGCACAACGAGAGAATTCAGAACACCTTAACAATTTAGGAAAAATGTAATTGCTAGGAGTGGGCTGAAAGGCGCTCAATTCACAGCCTAAGAAGCTGCATGCATTTTCAAGTATTCTATTACACTAGCCTAAGGGTCTACTAAAATGCCTTTGTAGTTACTAAAGGAAATCTATAATACCAAAGAGCGAATATTACACATAATACTTGAGGCAAGAAGCAGAGAAAATTTTCATTTACAAGGCAACCTGTTAAAACAACAAAGAGCAGCCCAATAAGACTTTCCCCTGAAAAAATAATTACTGAAATTCTAATAATCAAGTCTAGACAAAGAACAGTGAACTGCTGCATTATACTTTTCATGTGGAATGCTTCTTCTGAAGGCTTTGCAAACATTCCCATTCATCCCCAAATATGTACATGTGCACATAATTTTTATTTTTTCACTGCTGAATTTTCTATCCTTGGACTTACTCTTTCTTACGACAAGAAATTTCCTGAAAAGGTAGGATGAGCTCTGCTCTATGCAGCTGCAGTTTAAAGCGAACAATCAATTTTAACGTACAAATTTCCACCCGTTGTGGAAGTACAGGAAAATGCCTTTTTCAGGTAATAGGAAATCAAATTCTCTTTTTCAAAAACGCTTCTGCTTTGAGTTGTTTTTTCTTTCTTTTTTTTAAAGGAAGCTAAAATTTCAGGCACTAATTTGGAATTATGCATGCAGTATAAAAAAGTATGTGGGGGATACTGGACTATTTGGGGAAAAGATCTGGTCATTATGCCACTGTCTGGCGTAAAGATGAGGAATCTGAGCCACAGATTAAAAACAAAACTGCTTCCAGATCTAAGGGAGTATTAGGATCTCATCTTCGATGGCAGCTAACTTTTATTGAGTACTTACTATGGGCCAGATGTAGCTACACAGATTAATGGACACAAGAACCTGTAGGTAGGTATCATCATCCCAATTTTACAGATGAGAAAACGGAGGCGGAAGTATTAAGAGAGGTTACATGGTGGCTAATTAAGGTGGACCTAGGATTCAAACCCAGGATGATTGATTCCAGAGGCTTATGTTTTTCATGCCAACGTGGGAAAATAATCAGTTGAGCAGAATTGCTGGCAGCATCCGACCAAACAGCTTTACCCAAGGACTGAAGTGGAGAAAACCAGAGGCGGCTTCAGCTAAGAAAACAGGAAGTTATTAATCCAGCATGCCACTCCACGTATTCCAGTTCCGCTCGGTGCCATTTACCCACTTACCTGCGGAGCGTGGGAGAGGCCACATCAGGGTACTTGGCCCCTGGCTGGAGAGTGGCCTGAGCCGCACTAGACACAGGCTGGGCTGCCGGGTTCACCTTCACTGAGTTACAGGAAGCCACGCTCTCGTTGTCGGATGAGATGCCTTTCTCCTTATCGGTCTGGTTGACCAGACCTGGCAGAGAGCTGCCCAGGGCTGTCTTGGAAGGCTCCCTCAGCTTGGGCACCGGCAGGCCTGCTGACTTGCTACTGATGTTGGAATCTATGCTGCTGGTACTAGACCTGTTCCCAGCCCCATTCCGGCTGGTGGATTTACTGGGCCTTGGCAGACTCCGGTACTGTAAATTTGTCCGGGAGCTAAGAGACAGATACCCATCATCCTGATTCTGAGCCCCATCCATGCTTGTCTTCCGACCGGTGGACCGACCGACGAGTGCGGACGACTTTGGGATTTTGCCCAGTGTGGCTGACCTGCTGGTGACAGTGGCCCCACTGGCTGTGATCATGGCCAAACCAGCGGCAGAGCCACTCTGCTTCTTGAACCCAAAGCTGTTGGCGTTGGCAGTGGGTGTCCTGGAGCTGCCGGGGAGGGGTTTCTTGGATTCATCACCACTGCTGCGGCCAGCATCTGACGGGGAGCGCTTCACCTGGGAGGCTTTGGGAGACAGCCTTCCTTTCTCAGACACCTTTGCATCATCTGTTTTTCCTGAGAGAGAGATCAGAAAGGTTAGCCTGCAAACCAAGAAGTCAGCTCCGCCAGCTGACTGTTTAAAATTCTCCCCTCCTCCAAAGAACTAGCTCGCTTTCTCCTGGGGGAAAGCAGTCCCCTTGGGAGACAGAGGAAAGAGCTTTTCATAAAGATAATCGCGTCTACAACTGTCACCATGAGGCTTTTAGGAGATGTCAATGGTTTTCCTCATTCGCAAAGCAGTCTAAATTTACCCAGAATAAAGCAAAGCCAGCCAATCACTGATATGTCTGGGAAAGAGATCTTGTGTTTTATTGGCCATTCTCCCTCTGTCCATTGAAAAGCTGTCCCTATCATTTTCAAGGGGTACCCCACCTTCCTGCAAAAACACTGCCCTCGTTTACATACATCCTTAAATCATGGACAACGTCAATTCAACACACCGACAGCTCCTAACCACGTGCTCTTGAATAGCCTTCACTGGGTACGTTAGCTCCGACCCAGCACATGCTTAAACCAATTCAACATGTCTCGGCAGTGGAACCACCTCCAGAGTTTAAGAGGCTCTCATGCTTACATACTTCCACTTGGAGAAAGGTCAAGATGTGAACCTTTCTGAAAGCTGGCTACGAGCAGAGTCTAAACCCTAAGAAGAAATACCTGTGCATTTTACAGGGGTTTAAAAATATCATCAAGCCCTCGCTAGAGTGACTGCGGCTCAGGTTTTGAAAATGACAAGTGCCCACGCACGCCCCTGACTCACCAGTCCCTGGGGTCTTCAGCGTGCCTGCCGGGGCGGCCGGCTTCGTCCTCGGCATGGTGACGCCCACCTGAGCTGTCATGCCTCGCCGCCACGAGCCTGTCTGAGAGATGACGGGGTTCTTCTTGCCCGACGTGCTTTTGTCGGACTCGTCAGACACATCAGAAGGATTCCGCCTCCACTTCGACCCCGGCTCCATCTTTATGCCGCTGTCTGACCCTCCGTCTGACTTCTTGACATCATCGCCGGACCACAGGGAATTCCTCTCCACCTGTGAGTGCTTCTCAGCGTCGGTCTGCGAAGGAGACCCTCTGAATTAGTCTTTCTCAAACCCCAGGCTAGAGAGCCCCTCACCCCAGAGCAAAAATGCCCATGCCCTGGACAAGTTAAGGGAAAAATAACAGATGACTACTTTAAAATGTTTGGGCCTTGTACTCTGGTTATCTTGTTAGGAAGCCTGACATGTTGGGTCCAAGGAAAGCAAAGAATACGAATATGTCCTAAAAGGGAGTGAGGGAGGAGAGTAAAAAGAGCCAGAGGAAAACGAGGGACAGAGCCCCATGGAGGAGAACCAGTGGACGGAGCTGTGACAAAAATTCAGCCACCAGCTCTGCCACTTGGCGACCAGCCTCCTCGAGCTCTGGCAGCCTGAGCTCTACCCAGCTCACGGCCTCGCAGCCCATTTCCCTTTGTTCAACGGCTCCCAATCACTCCACTGGCAGCCAGATCTCTGGATCTAGCACAGCGCCACAGTCTAACGCACCGAGAGCGAGCGAGAGAGGGCAGCTGCTAGCTCCCCTCGAATCAGGGAGAGAGAGGGGCCGAGAGGAAGCAAAGCCTCAAAAGCCACTTCCTCCCCACGACACCATGTGCTCCCACCCAGCTCCATTCATATGCCGCTGCTTGCTCCTCTTGTGGGATTTTGTGCAGACGGGGGATATAATTAGCCAGCCTTCTTTGGAAGAGGCCTGACCTGCTGGCCATGGAGCCCAGGAGGGGACAGAAGCGTGACGGTTAATTGTTTGCTGCAGTTAAAAGCCATAACTCTCTAACCAGAAAGCTTTGGGGGCCTCCCTAGGGGTTGGGGCCAGTCTGAGCAGATTTCAGTGGGGAGAAGCAGTGCAGTGAACGGGGAAGGGTGGTCAGCAACAATTTAGGGCAGCTCCCCTGCAATACAGGTCCCATGTTTGCTGTACTTAACTACCAAGCGTGGGCAACACCAGCAAGGTAGCAAATCAAAACGACCCCTTGGCAAGAATCTGGCCTGATGCTTGTCACTGGAGATTAGCACCAATGGAATACGCTGGCTGAGTGGGAGCAAAGATACATACAGACAAGCAGCCCAAGTTCAATCGCCTCTCTATCGCCACCACAGCCTCCCCCCTCTCCCTCAGCCACCTCATGGGTGCCTTCAGTTGTTTGGTCATTCCTCAAACATTTCCACGAGGTACTAGGCATAGAGAGAGGAGGAGGACAGAAACACTCCTGGGCTGCAAGAAGCTCATCGTTCAGCTGCGGCAAAGGACAGAGACAGAGGCGTCCCCACAGCAGGCACGCAATCAGGCTTGGTGAGGAAATGAGCAAATCGGTCGGCGAATACATGCTTCTCAAGCTACAGCACACTTTAACAAAACGACCTCATCTGATCCCGACCGCTATCTGGTCAAGGAGGGTAAGAAGGTAAGTAGAACTGTCTTCATCTCAGTTTTACAGAGAAGTGGAAACTCACGGTACTTGCTCCGTGTCCCAACTACACCAGCCCATGTTCCTTCCTCTAAATCTTCCAGTGTATTCATTCAGCCAGAATTTCCTCCATGCCCGTGGTTTGCCGGGCACTATGGTGGGTCTGAGGATCTGTGAGTAAGATTGGTTCCCATCCTTTCTGAAGTTTATGATCCAGTGAAAGAGGCAGGGATTGGAAATATAAGACAAATAAATGGAAAAGGACAAGGAGTCTGAGAGAATTACAGGCAGTGATGTAATTTAGATTATGATGATGGGGGTAAGGTACAGTGGTCTGGTAAGGCCTTTTTGAAGAAGTGTCCTAAAGAATGAGCAGAAACTTACCGAGAGAAGAGTTTAGGGAAGAGCATGCCAGGGAGAGGGAAGAGTATGTGCAAAGGCCCTGAGGCAGAAAGTATCTTGGCTTTGGAAACATTCACTCAACAAATATTCACCGGTACCGCTGTGTGCCAAGCAAGCTTTTGGGTACTGGGAATACTACAATGAATGAGAACAAAATATCAATACGAATCATCAACCTCCTGGAGCTTATGTTCAAGTACATTCTAACACATTCTTTTACACTCTAAGAGGTACTGAAAACTTAGTACATACCACATCCTGGGGTACTGCATTAATTATTCCTTTAATGCTCCTATATCTTATTTTCCCTGATCAAATTATAGTGATGCTAATAGTAGGAGCAGTAACAATTAAAATTTACTAAGCATTTACTATGTGCTAGGCACTGGGCTAAAGTGCTTTACATGTACCATTTAATTTAATCTTCACCAGAAACCTATGAGGAGGTTATAGTTCGTAGTCTCGATTTTACATGAGAACACTGAGGCACAGAGTGGAAAAGAAAATTGCCCAAGATCACACAGTGCAAGGATTCCAGGGAGCCTGAGTGCAGAGCCCATATTTTAGCCATCAGGCTATGTTGCCTTCCTGGAGAACAAGTCCAAGGACTTGAGGATGCTGCATGTCCAGGGGCACCTAACATAACACCTACACCCAGTAGATTCTCCTTCCACCCTGGCTGGCCGGTGGTTCCCCAGCTCCAATTCTGGAGCAGTTCCAGCCTAGCCTCTGGGTGGGACCTCCAGAACTGATTCCACCCCAGTGGCAGAGAGAGTGCACACATCCCTGGTCTGGGACTACAGTTGAATCCCCCTCTGGAAAGAACAATCATCCAACCATCACAGCCCCGCAATGTATGTGGTCCAGGGTGGTAGGCTTCCCAGCTGCTCTTGGCACAGCGGCCTCTGCCCCGGGACATTACACTGGCTGTGAGTTCACATCTCCTTAGCAAACCCCTGCTGAGCTGTGTGCCAGATCATGTGGTGGCACCAGGAGGGATTAAAAGATGAAGAAGGGCCAGCCTCTCTGCTCCCAGAGCTTACAACAGGAGGGCCAGCAGGACAGCCACATGGGATGTACAAAGAGCTGCACCCTCCCCTTTGCCAGCTGTGCCCATCTCAAGTGGTACCTCCTTTCTGTAGATTTTCCTACTGCCCCTACCTGTAAGCCCACTTACTCATTCAGCATCCAAGAGGGAAGGCAGGGAAATAGCCACACTCAAGGAGGAAGAGGGCCTGGAAGATGGGAGAGTTCTCCCCTGAGGGCCCAGGTTCCCCAGAGACTGAAGAGGGGAGGCCAGTCTTCTGAGAGCGAGAGGAAGGAACCAAGGCGCTGAGGAACGAGGTGAGGCCGTGAGGGGGGAGGTGGAGGGAAGAGCATGGGCTTGGGGTCGGACAGACTTGAGGTCAAGTATTAGGTGCTGCAACTCCCTCCTGTGCTGTGTGTGACCCTGAAGGAAGTGGCTGAGCTTCTTTGAGATTGTTACCTTGTGTGTGAAACAGGGGTGATAACAGACAGGTGTCTCAGAGAGCTGACGGTGGGCGCAATGAGCTCAATGTGGAGGGACTCAATTTTAACAGTGGCTCTTTTGTCACCAACTGTCCCCCCTCTGAAAATCTCCAGCACTTTAGCATTTAATCTATTTCTGTCTTGCATTAAGGTGAACAGGGTACTTGTCTTTTGTGCTCTTAGGCCACAAGCCTCTAAGAAGCCAGAGACACTGCCGTCTTCAAGCCCACACCATCCCCTGCGGACTGAGATGCTACACTGGCTAAAGTCTGAGTCCCAGTAATAACAGAAATTAGGATCAGCGTCAGCATCATTACCTGCCACCTTTCTTACTGGGCACTGGGTGCCTCTGAACACATTATTAGCTCATCTAATCCTCTAAACTTGCACTTTTATCTGTATTTGACAGACAAGGAAAGCACAGGTGTGAAGAGGAAAGGTAACTTGCCTCAAGTCAGGAGCAGCAGGGCCCAGCAGGTGGCACAAGGGGTGCCCCACCCACACCCCAGCCAAACCCTATCCTTACGTCCAGACCATCATCCGAGAGCATCCAGAGAGCTCCAGGATTACTCAAGGTCACACAGGACAGGAATCCTTGCCACAGAATTCAGAATTTTGTTTCCTTCAGTAGCAAAAAGTAAACTCACATGGAATTACCATTTTTTCCCCCTTGTATATTTTATTAAAATTTCAAAGGCAGTGAAAATGAGAGGAATCTTGACATATGCCTTTTTTGTACCTTGACACCTGGAATGGAACCTTCCACAGACTGAGAGAAAATGCCGAGTCACAAGGACAGGAAGAGATAGATGAAAGGGATGTGGGGAAGTGATGTTCATGTGTGAAAAGTCTTCTGCCACCAACACACTGTCCTAAAAACAAAATGCTGCAAAACTTAAGACAAAATGCTCTGACAGGGCTTCCCTGGTGGCGCAGTGGTTGAGAGTCCGCCTGCCGATGCAGGGGACACGGGTTCGTGCCCCGGTCC